TGGTACTGAGTTATAGGGCCCTGAGAATAATTGCTGGGTTGGAAGGTCGTTGCGTTGTAGGTGGGTTCTGCTGGAAACCCGAGTCAAGCCTCTTGCGAGATGATTTGGGTGTACGAAGGGTGTTTCTCAGTAGGCCGTCTTTTGTTTGTCTATTTCATCTTTTACTGCAAGAATGCCGAGGTCTCTGTGGATGTTTTGGTTGCGAATATACCACGGTGCCCCAGTGATAGTCCTCAGGATTTTCAGGATAGTCCAGATGCAGGGTTGATCGTTTGTTTAATATCCAGTGCAAGCTGCTGGCTTTTCATTTTAGATGTAGTTCCTTGCACTCAATGTGTCTTCTCCAGGTTAGCCGTCTATCGAGGTGGACGCAAGATACGTTACTTCGTTGACTTGGGGAATCGGTGTACTATTCAATGATAGTAGAGGGCATGCTTGCCTGTTGAAAGTAAACGTTATGTGTTTACATTTTTGTTCATTTATTTTAATACGCCAATCAGGTAGCATCCTCTCAACTACGGTGAGGTGATTGGCTAGTTGTGTTGCTGCTTGGCTGGGGCACCTCGAGCGACTTAGGATTGCAGTGTTGTTAGCTGCTCGTTCGTAGGTATGTATATCCGCTGTATAGGATGAACAGAATAGGCCCAAGTAAGCTTTCTTGCGGGACTCCAGCTTCGATTATGTAGTCGTCAGATGTTGTTGCGTTGCAACTTACTGCGAAGAATCTGTTGTAGAGATACCAATCATGTAGCTTATGAGTATATGTAGTGAACGCAGTGAAGGAGACATCTCCGACCCTATAAAGTATATATATTCTTGATCAGAATCGCATCCTGAGTTGATATATGCATGCAAAAAAATATTTTTACCAATTAGTCATGTACGGTACAGAGGGTTTGGTCGGTGTAATACATTCATACATTTTGAAAACGGGAAATAAACGCAGAGCAACTTACTGTTAAGCATCTATATCAACTTAATATAATTTAAACAACGCCAACAATTCGCTAAACTCTGACATGTCACTCTGTGATACTGTAATAATCAGTTATTGGGTTGCATTTGTCTATTATTTGGTCTATTACCATCGACTCTTAAAGTGTTGGCACTGCAGTTCAGAGAAAGAAATACACAATCAGCTGGATGCGTATTTATTTCCTAATATATAAGTTAAGTATTTCCAGTTGCAAGGAATTATCTAAGACACACGGTGCTGCCCGAATGAGAAGACTTTGGGGATAGTGAGTGCTGTGATTGCTCTGAACCTTGGGCTTCTGCAATATTTGCATTATTTTTATAGTAGCTATGCGTAGACAGCATGGCAAATTTTCTGCTGTGTTAACTTATACTCTCTTATATTTTGTTATTCGCGTATCTCAAGGACAACGGAGTATTCAGGTTCGCTCCTCATTACCTAAACATTGAAGATAGCAACCTTTTCCTCAAACAGTCCCGCCAATGAATTCAGCTCCTGGTTCGATACGTTATAATCTTTAAATGAATCTAATTAAATATAAAAGTCAAGGCCTGATCAGAAGAGCAGCCATGTCTTCTTTACCCGTTGTTGGCTATTTTTGGGCGACAGCGGAGAGTAGATCGTTGGCTGTGAATGTCGCTATGGCATGAAGCACCAAAAAAAAAAAAAAATAAATTTTTATAAAATGGCGGTTACTCAAAGAAAAAAATCGATTTTTTTTCACTAATTTTTCCATTTTGTCGGTTTTTTTTTAAATATTATAAATTTAAAATTTTTATTTTTTGTTGGTTCCGGTGATAGAAATGTATTTAAAGAATATTCATGCCAAATTTCAAGTAAATCGACAGATTAGATCTTGAGATATAGTGGCGACCGCATCAAAAAAAGTAGTTTCGAGAAAAACGCGTTTAAAGTTTTACGTTAAGTTTCGGGCAGCGTAACTGATAGAATATTACGAATAAATTACATTCCCTTAATCAGCTATCCCAGCTTCATACAATGACCTTCAAAATTTTCGATTTTCTCAAATTTCTAGACTAGAAGACCCCCTTAATGCTGGAAAAAACATATCCTGCAGTTAGTTCCTCAAATGAATTCTTAAATACTAATTTTAGATACTATGGTAAAACTAGGTTCTTTTTACTCAAAAGTTCTTAATTTTTAGAAAGTTGTCAAGAAATTTTTCATTTTAAACATACATATGTGTATAAATCATATATTATAAAGAACTATGTTTTGAAATACCCTCTGGAAGGGTAAAAAGTTTTTGTGCTTTTTGTTGAGTTAAAGTTAAACCATTTATGTTTATCCAAATGCGGGCAATCAACAACTTGAATATGCAAGGTGTAATCTACATGTAAATGTTAATTTTGTTATCCGCATTCGTAAAAACCTAAATTCACATATTTACACGGTGGGGCTGATGTTTTGTTGTTGGAAGTAATATAATTTGTATTTCAAATATTTGTAGGTACTTTCCTCGTTTCTTAAAAATTTTTAGCCATTATTATTATTAAAGATGTTTTTTTTTGTTGATTTGTGCTTAGCGATATGGCGTTTAAAAACGCAACATGTCGGTGACCACGGTACCTCACTGCCGTGTAGATATAAAGCGTTTAAAATTCTACAAAGTATACCTTTTTTTAAGGCGTCGGTAAAATGTTATAAATTTATTTTTGTAACAAAGAAAAAATATTGATAAACGATATAGTCGAGTGCTACGACTATACGATACTCAGCTAAAATAAATAAATTTTAGGAAGCATCATCTGCCAGTTTTCTCGCTCTCTTCCGATCTCTCAAATATGCAATGACGTCAAAATTAACACTTAAAATGTTTTATAACTTTTAAAGTAATGGATCGATTCGGAAAATTTATGGAGCGTGAAAGTCGTGGTAATTTAAAAAAATTTAGTAGAAATTTCTGAAAAAGTATATATCTTAAAGTATACATATATGCATTTACATTATAAACAACTAAGTTATTAATACCCTTTACGAGTAATGGGTATAAATATGGTTTTTGTTAAATGTATTATTTAATGAGAATCTCCATTAGAATCATGATTAGAATAATTATAATTTGATAAAAATCAATTAATTTACATTTCGCCACAAAATTAGGAAATACAGGGTATCGAAACACTCGATAATTGCGTTCAAGTTGGCTTAGAATAAATATTTGCGTGAGGGCTTCAGTCAAGTTTTATTTCTTTTGAGTGGTGTGACCGGTAACTAGCAAAACTTCGATGAACTTTTTATATGAGAAGTTCCGCCAACGGTCGTTTTTAAACCAAGATTATCCAATATGCAGTAGTCCAAGTAAAGTGGAAAAAAATGTTCAGTCCATGGCAGAACGTACCCGAAAGCTAAGCCTCCTTCTAAAGTATCACACGCAAATTCCTAAAGTAAGTATTATTACTAAAAAACAAGAAAGGAGGGAAATATTGCCTTGCAAAAATTAAATATTCTTTAAAAAGACTTTGTTTCTATTTTTATTCGTATCTATATAATCGACGCACAGTCAAATCCAGTTTAAACACACTATTAACATTTTGTTTCATACAATTCTAATAACAACACGAAAAGAAAGCTAACTTCGGGCGGAGCCGAAGTTGAAATACCCTTGCGGAATATTCTGTAAATTATATTCTCCAAAATTATTCATATGATGCACTCTAATTTTGAGTAATTAAAAATTTGAGGTTTTTGTTTTAATATAGCCTTTAACTATATTAAATCGATGTTTCAAAATCAATTTATTTGGTCCAAACTGTTCAGATAAAAAATAATTTTAATTTTAAGCTGATTACAAAAACCTTTTGAGAGGATAACATATTTTCAGTCAATAGTTTGCCACGCATTCAAGGGGACATTTTGGACACTATAAATTGATATATACTCCTGATCAGCATCAAAGAAATCTTCAGAACATATTTCCAAAAGTCTTCTTTTTTTGCAGGTAGTATAAAAGTCGGAATGGTTTGGATCGGACTTTTATATTATATGAACAATCAAAAAAATAACTTATCGTTTTAAACATATACATTCACTCAGAAAAAAACGCCGCTTTTAATTTAAGTAAGATCTTACTTGATTTCGTATTTAAAAAGGCTGGATTCAATAGATAAACTCTCAAAATTATATTAAAATATTTAAAGCAAATTCGTTTCGTACTTTATCTAAGAATAAAAGATTAAAGGCTACATTAAATTAAGGAATTTACGTAATTATTTTCATAAAATAAAATACAAAAAGTACAGTTAAGTTTATTGAAATTTCATGGTAAAAAACTTAATTTATTTTTATTTAGTACAAATCTCAGAAGCTAAATAAAAATGCCCTTTATAGTTTTTTCACTTTAACTAAGAAAGATTGAAAAATAGTTCTTAAAAAAACTGAAAAATTCTTAAACGAAGTACGTTGTGTGATGAAAAAGGAAGATAAAAGCTCTTTAAGGCTCTTTTATAAGATATACAAATGCACTTATCTAAAGAGCGTGACGTTTCGGTGGTTCGATTTTCAGACAGGAAATAATAATTGTATCTACCAATCTATTTATAACTATAGTTTAAATATTATATTATTTAAATATTATATTATTGAAATATTATATGAATACTTTATAACTGATCGGGGCATAAATAACAATTGATTTTCGAAAGCCGATTTTTCGACTCACTTTCAAAAATTCTCGGACACATAAATTGACTGCTAATAAAACTTGGTTTTATAGAGTTCGAATGGGAACTCGGTTACAGATTAATTTAGGGATGCGTACATTAGCATAATGTTCGATGTATATACATTTGAAATGTTAAAAAAGCTTTTCAACGGAAGCCAGCTTTACAACTTTAGGAGCGTAAAATGAGGCATGCGCAGTGGAAAGGCAAAATGTTCTCTTAAGTTTTCGCTTCCGTACTCAGAGATGATGTTTTTTGTCTGTATACAAGAGCTTTTCCAAGGATGTACTAAAAACTAAAGTTTTTAGTGTGTAAGCGTCAACCGCACAAATGCTTATTTGCTGTGGCTCCATGAAAACGAAGCTAGGTGCAACAAAGAGTAATTTATTAAGTTGTAGTATCCATTTCAACGATTTCCAAATCACGTCACTGCACAAATAATTGTGCGTAATAATTATATACAGTTTTAGTTGACAAACAAATAAAATTAAAAAAAACGCACTGCCTTATGTTTTACAATTGCGTATACATCATTTTATGCAAAAGCAAAACTTTGCCAAGTTAAAGCCTTTAAGGAAGTTTTATTCCAACGAAAAATAAATAATTTTTTCTGGCAGCTGCAACCCTCTTTAACTGTTTGGTATACGAATAATATTTATATTGTAAAGAATTTCAGCTTGGAGTCCATTTTAAGTATTGGTGCTCTCAGATTTATATTGTTGGATTTAATACTTTTGCTGATTTCTAATAAATAAATAAAATATAATTTTAATGACATTTTTTCTGCATTTAAAGTGAAAAAGTATTGAGAAAGTGCAATTTAACAGAAACCTAAACTTAAACTTAAAACTATATATAGATATTATTTGCCATTTCATTTAATAAGTGTGTATCCCAAAAAAAAAAAACAATTTCCCACTAACATCAAATTATTGTTTTAGGTACATATGTATATAACCATTTAATATTTCAGACGATTTCGCATTGACAATTGGATTAAACGTATGTATTTTATTTAGAGCAAGAAAGCTGATTATTAAAGATAAAACTATTTAGGTGAAAATACATTTTGCATTCGAAAACGGCATTTAAAAACGATATGATGAACACATCTCACCCGCAAGCGTCGGGGGCGCTAGAAAAGAATAGTCAGTTCCAAAACCAGGAACACAAATCCATCTCCGAGGTGAAGGTTGAACATCAGCTTACCTTCGCAAAAAATGCTCTAAAAACGCAGATTCAAATAAAGGAACAATTGCGACACCATCAGCAATCATCGATGTATGGGACAACAGTATCCAACTCTTCGACTGCTGCACCAGTTCGTGGAATATTTCAAAATGAGTCGGCGAAGAGGCTCGAATACCCGTTGGAGGTTAAATCAGTTCATAACCATATAAACTTGATCCCAGCTCAGTCACAACTATCGAAAATCCAACCACCGATAAGTAAGTCACCCATAGGCTTGAATGCCTCTTACACCAACTATCCAAACACCAATGGCAGCATGGTGTCGATCAAAAGTGAACAGCAGTTGTGCCAGATATACAATTCGCAGCAACACTCCGATTACATAATCTCCGACTATATGGATAAAATAGCGACACGGATCAGTTTACTCGAAACAGAGTTGAAGTTTGCATGGCGTGCATTGGACTTGCTTTCTACTGAGTACGGAAAAATTTGGATTCGTTTGGAGAAGCTTGAAAACATATCAATAGAGCAGCAGTCTGTGGTTAGTAATCTTATGGACCTAATCGGAACAGCGAACCAAGAACAGCAGCAGGACAATATCGAAGGAATGGAATTCCCCTCATTTCAGGATGAAGATCAGTTGCTACCATTGGACTTGGAAGACACCATGGGTGTAGACATAGTCTTGGGATGTGAACCACCTGATCCAGACTATGATAAAGAATTATGTTTTGGAGATCTTGATCACACTGTAGTGGCACAGTGCGATCCCGATGTATTTTCGAATTCAGCTTGTGCACTAGACTCTCACATCTCCTGCAATCCTTACTTCAATTTTGAAAATGACCAAGGCTTGGACTCGGACAAAACCGATGAATCTACTTCTAAGGGATTTCAATTGGATATTGAAGCTTCACGTAAGGACTCGAGAACACAACTTTATTCAGATTCTGACCTTATGCTGTATCAGAAGCAGCAATTTCTGGCAAACAACGCACGTGCCGAACTAATGAAGGAGTTTATAAACGGACGACGAGTGTTAAATGAGATTTCAGCATCCTCGGGTGTGTCATCAAAAGGTTCCAGGAAATGTACCAACATCTCACAGCCAAGAGAGGGACTTCAATATGACCAATCTTATGTTGAATTAGATGATGATCCCATAAGACAGTCAAGCAACGCTTGCGATGAACTAGATAACCTTATTGAAGATGTTAAGTTTTTTCGTTTAGCAGCCTCTAAAACCGGTGAGGGCGGAATCCAAGTACTACCCATTGAAGATACTGGGGGAACGGAGCTTTTAGCTAATGCCAATGAAATGAACGAATCTTTCTACAAAAAACTCAATGAGGCATATCGCGACAATGACTTGAGTTCTGAAATATTTAAGGTGGATGCATTGCTGTATCAGTCTGAGGCTAACCACGAAAAAATTGGATTAGTTAATGGTCGCCCAGCTTCCTCCTTAGTCTTAAGAAAACCAGAGGAGAAGGATAATTTAGATATGCAGTCCTTAGACACTGCAAAAACTAGCCTTGTAATTCGAACAAACAACATTTTAAGCAAGGAGTCGAGAAGGCAGCGAAAAAAAAAGCATCATACAAACGAAATGGACATGATAAATAAACTAAAGTGTATCCTTGCACAAGCACAATCATCGCGTATTATTAATGGTGATTCTGAAGAATTGAATACTGAACTGTTGGGGATGCATACCGGTAGTAAACGAATTGAACTTGGAGCCGACAAGATTCAGAATGGGTTAGACAATCAAAGTTCAACAAATAATATCAACTATTTGAGTGACGACATCCGAATAATTTTAGATAACATAACAGAGACTTTAATAGAGGAAATAAATAAAATTCCAGGCTTGCAATCTTTAAGTGCATCACAAATTAGTCAGTTGCGCAAGACAGTATGGTCAGAAAATAAGTTTTTTCAAAAACTCAGCCAAGTTGATAAAAAATTGACTCTGCTTTTACTAAACCCGATAACAGTAACTGAGGAACTGCGAAGACATAGTATTACAAATACCAATGAAAAGTTTATTTTGGTTATGAAAAAGTTTAATAAAAATATCGACACTCTAAAAAAACTAGTTGGCAGCTCATTGGACGATTTTAAAATAGACAAACCTCGCACAAATACCACCTCAACTCACAGCGTCAATCCTGATCATACATCGAAAATAAATGTTTGCAGTTTTAGCACTCATTTATTAAGAAACAATTCAGACCTGGATGAACAACTGAAGATTCTCGAAACGCAAGAGATTGAAATAAACCGAAAACAAAAAATAGATCAAATTGTTAGCGGACTTTCTGGGAACGTAGACAACGCTTTTAACACAAATATAGAATATGAAAGCAATTACAGTTATGCACACTCAACAGATGAGTTTAAGAGTTCGAAAAAAAATATTTATAATGAAGATGAGTACATAAAGTCTTTAAAGAAAAGTCTGGAACGCCACAACAGCATGATTTTTCTCCTCCATTTGCAAAATCCTGAAAAACACAAAGTTTCTGCTGAACTGAATGATCCACTAATAGATTCAAATCGAGCCAGTCTCAGTCCACCACCACCAGCTCCCAACGATATTCTTAACTTTAATGAGACCGCGAATCAATTCAGTGGTGAAATAGACTCACATCAGCAAAAGAATACAAAATCAGATTCTGGATTATCGTCTATGAGCGGTTGGTCACTAAATTCCCCAGTGACAGTGGGAATTCCAAATTTATTCTGTAACGAAATTATCGAAAAAAGTAGAGATCAATTACAAGCATATCCATCATTGCCTTTAGCTGGAAGTTCAAACTTGAATAACATTCCGGTCGGCTATGATACAAATAATACTATCAAACAAAATGATTATGTAATATCGGAAGAAAACTTAAACTACATTCACGAGCTTTCTAAGAACTTACCAATTTGCTCCGCCTATGAAAATAAATCTATTTTCGACATAAATTCCGACGCAAATAACATAGGAAAAATTTCAACTGTAGACGAAATGCTGGAATGGGATCATCTCAATCAGAAGGATACAAAAAATCTTTCCACCCGTATGCCCGACCTGTTGACTGCTGAAATACAAAAATCAACTTTAAAGCAACAAAAAAAAAGATGTTTAAATGTTAATCTAAGAAATGTCGAAAAAGCAGAAGATGGAAACATATCAAGATATAGTCATAAAGAGTCGACTATGGAGTACGAAAAAACAGTGAATCAATCTAGCAGGCGTTGTTTAACAGATAGACTAGTGTTCTATCCGTCTTCCAACTCTATTACAGATTACAATAGCAGCAATAATTTGGATTATTTGGGTCAACAAAACCAAATAATGTTTACTAGGGAATCCGGGTCTAAGCCAGCTCATAATACTAATACCTATTCTCAAGCGCAGGTCCAAATTATTGTTGCCCCGACCAGCTCAAGTCAATCGGAATTAGGTTTTAAATCTGTATCTTTGTTGAGCTCTGCTGAGTCTTCGAGCAGTACAGATAAACATCAACGCCTTGATCCCGAACTCGCACCCCTTAAAACCCCAAAGGTCTGGAATAAGCTAAATACCCTCCTAACAGATAATCTAAAGCTTAAGCGTATATCCAAGTTCAATCGATCACAGTCATTACCCGGTGATGTACAAAGTCAAGGCAATCAGAGACAGCCCCGTGGCCAGGCGGGTTCGTGTCCGTTTATTTCTCACAAGCGGTCTAATGTAAGCGGAAGCCAGGTTCAGCTATCAAAAAGAATTCAAAAGCTACCGATGCGTCTGATACGAAGAGCGACAGGAGCCCCATTCGTGCGACGGTTGTCTCACCCCGACTCTGCTGTCTCATCAGATTCCGCTGCCAACGAATTTTCAGAAAGAGGTGTACCAAAAAAGTCACTTTCATCTAAGATGAATAATCTAATGCAAAAGGCGAAGACTTACAAACGGCATAGCTTTGTTCTGCGCCGCGGCTGTAACATGTCGGATATTGAAATAGATATGCCGGGCTTTACGTCATCGGATAACGATAAAACCCCTGCATTCGAAAGTGAAATTGCAATGAATCCATACGAGGTTGATGCAGATGAAGAGGCCTGTGCCTATGAACAGAAATTAGACGGTTCAACGAATGAGTTGAATGAGAGTCTGTCAAACAATGTGTTTGCTGTCGTAGGAGACTTTAAAAAGATTCAAAACACCATACCACTGGCTGTCTCAAATGCATACAATTATACTGAGTTTGCAAATAGTAATGAAATTGGCAATGTGAAAACCGTGCCCATTAAGATGCCAGAGATACTCTTGGAAACTTCATCACAGGCGTGCCTTCAGAAACTCAACTCAGTTTATATGGACGATGTCGACGATGATGAGAACATTCTCGGAAATTCGGTCAATGTTGATGTAAATGTTCCCACCCTCAGTATACCCAAACTAAGTGAAGAAGTTGGGGACACAACAATAAATACATTCCAAACAATGACAACAACAACAACCGGCAGTCGTAGCCTTAATAGCAGTGGCGTCTTGTGGGTGGCTCAGCAGTGCTTAGACCTTCCGAATAATCCTGGCTATGGGTCGCGGGAAGATGAGGACAATCGGAGTCAGCATTCTGCTCGCACCCTCTCTTCTTCCCGTCGACAAAGCACTGAGGATAGCATCGACACGGATGATGAATACTTTTACTATGAGCTTCGCCAGTTAGAGGAACAGGAACAGCAACGGACAGAACACTCCAGAATTGTGCCTTGCGAACAAAGTGAAGACAATGAAGTTCTGTTTTCACAAATAGGACAACTTCTTGAAGACGATATTAACGGGGGAGAATATACGCGGCAATCTGTTGGTAAAGATGCTCAAGACACCATTAATTATTCTCCGAGTGAAAGTGTAAAGTTACGGATGTCTCTAGTATTTGGTGAACTCAAACGCGTCGTTAATTTACAGTCAGACGTACATGACGACAGTAAGATATGTACAGCTTCTGATGCTACTGTTGAAGAGTTTGCTATCGTAAAGCCGACAGGTGAGAAATATGCCACAGTTTTTGACATGCATAGCGCTTGGCAGGATGTTAACTGCGATCTTCAAAACACTGCGTCGGAAGTGGATTCTAATGACGAGGCCGAGATGGAGAATAGAAGCGGAGGGACTCTCCATCATTTAAATAATAAGCAACGAAAACTGCGACGATTAAAGAAAAAAACACGCGATCGGAATGTAAATATGTCTAACAATGCAGCCAGTTCAAGTTCATCTTGCCATTCTGAAAATGAATGTGAGCAGGAGCAACATAATTCACTTTTTGACCAATGTATTCCAAAATCGGACGCAGAAAAAGAAGAAAATTACATAACAATCAAATCCACAGCATCAAGCGAAACATCTGGACCCGATACGCCAGCAGAGATGAGCGATGTTGAAATGAGCGATAATAATGTTGGTCATACAGTAGATAATAACACAATCGATCCAGATATTCTTTTAAAAGTGGATCAAGGGTCAATACTACAATCTAATGAAGAAGACCAGCCTTTGGAAAAGTCTCAGGGTAGTACTTTCTCATTGGAGATTATCACAAACGGTACAGTTCTATCTCAGAGCCCTATTGACTTAAAAAAGTTTGTAAGTCAAGAATCAGAAGCAGATGGATGCCAGGTAATGGGGAGTAATGGTGCCGCAGCGGGTTTTGGTAGCAGCAAGTGGAAGTTGTTAAAAACTTTGAAAGAACGCAAGATCGAAGAAAAAAATAATCAAGATAAACTTAAAGAAGATGAAATGACCAAGGACAGGGAAAAGGTAATTAAAGTGAATTTACATTTAAGACAGACAAACCCAAATTCATATATATTATAAAACGTGTAATTGTGTTTCTCCAATGTGATGCGAAAAAAAACAGAACGTCTGCTTGTCTTAACTGCTCGATAGAATGTTTTGACACACCATCCATTGCTCCCTAAAATATGTTATATGAACCATGTTTCAAATATGCAGTGATGTCATAATTAGCACTTAATATGTCCAATAAATTCTAATGTAATGGTGCGATTGCTATATGTTATAGTATATAATAGTAATTATTATGCTTTTAGTATTGTCAAAATCGGACAACAACGATGAAACGATAGAAACGATGCCATAGCTTCATTGATTTTAGATTGTTTATAAATTGAAATTTCGTTTTTTAATAATTGCAAGGGCTTGCCGAAGTTTTAATTTTTTTCTTTTCATATTTTTTCCGATTGTTCCTATGGGAGCTATATGATATAGTCGTCCGATCCTCCCGTACCGACTTATATACTACCTGCAATAGAAGGACATCTTTTAAGAAAGTTTTAAGCAGGTAGCTTTAAAACTGAGGGACTAGTTTGCGTAGAAACGGACAGACGGTCAGACGGTCATGGCTAGATCGACTCTTCTGGTGATGCTGATCAAGAATATATATACTTTATAGGGTTTGACTGCCCTTTTTGCAAGGGTATAAATCTAGATTTCGTTCCTAACACCCTAATCCTAAAAAATTAACCTCGATGACAGCGTTTTCTTAAGAATTTACACAAATAACAAACGTCATGACATGGTCCTTTTGCAATCGAATTTGTTTTTCAAAGAGTTTCAATAAAAAATACGAATAGTATTTTTTTTTGCTTTTACAAAAAAAAAAAAAAAAAACCCGTTTAATGACGGTACCACCAAAAATACGTTGCACCTTAATGACTTGATATATATTTTTGCTTCATCAATTGAATCGGTTACACTTTCTTCTCTGAATTTACGTTTTGTCTTCTTGGAAGCCTAATCTATGTACACTAGAAATGTCTAATTCATACGTAAATTGTAAAAAAAAGAGACTCAAAACGAATAAGTTGGTTCTTTTTATCTTCAAGGTAATAAGCCTGCATGCTTCAGCAAATTAAAAAAGGTTTTTACCTTAGAATTGCATTGAATGGTTATTTTCTTTCCTTAGATATAGGAATTCCTACATTGGCCGCTTATCTTTCTTAAAAACAGGGTTTTCCTGTCTGAAGCAGTAACAACAGGTCCTTGGAAAAAAACTTCTGGGCTAATATTTTGGAAACTCCATAAGGTCAAATTGCACAACTCTCGTTCAGAAACTGCTAAAGATAATTGCAAAAAATGGATTATTAAGCTTTATACTTTTGCACCGGTTAGTCTTAGAATAAAAGGAATAAATTAGTACTACAAATTTCGTTGAAGTGTATGTAAAAGGTAGAAAAAAGCTTTTCCGCCCCTATAAAGTATATATATTCATCAGGATCGCGAGAGGTGAAAAAAGGACAATATAAAAACCGACAGCAAAGTTAAAATACATACGAAACAAAATACTAATAAAAAATTCGCGCTAAATAAGATAAAATTAATCATTTTAAGATTGGCAAAGAGTCGGTAGTAGAAATTGTATGGTATAGTCTATAATAGTCATTTTAGTTACATAGATCTACAATGATTTAAAGTAAGTGGAATATAGGTCCTGAAATGATAATAGGCACAGATAAATTTAGGCGACCCAGTAACTCGGTACTATCACTATATCCGAGAATAAGTTTTGGAATAAGAGTAGTGCCAAACATCGTTCTACGGATTGATAAGTAAGGTAAATTAATTAGAAGAAGTCCACTAGAGTAAAATGGTAAAATAAAATTTGCATTCCCGTAAAGCAAATAGTAAAAATAGTCTTTATGTACACCATAGGGCACTTCATACTGGTGAATATGTCCATCCAGGATTGGATGAACTAGTGAAATAAATAATGTCATAAATAATGTGTGATGACATAAGGATCATCGAATTCCTTTGACCACCTTTTGATAAATCCGATCACTCCCCTTGCTTTATTTACCATGGAAGTGAAAACTTAAAACTTAAGTTTTGGGTCCATTTATTAAAAAAGATTGCTCCAAGAGGTGTGTCGCCGTAATTGATCTACAAAGATGTTGCAAGTGGGGTGTAATAACGTTTTTGGAAAGGCTTTGGAATGATGGACAACTTGGATATACCTCTGTAATTGATTGTATTTGATTTATTTCCCTTCGTGAGAAGGGATGGCTTTCCTAATAAACCTGATTTCAAAATCTGTTCACAATGAAACAATTAATTATTTTTTTAATTTAGCAGGTAGTAACTTAATATATGCATAACTTTTAGGGGAACTGTATTCGCCAACTATTCGCAACAAGATATAATTAAGTCCCTAAAGTTCCTAAACAAAACTTATAGAAAATAGATATTACTACATAAGAGTAAGGGATAATACAAAATATGTTATGAAAATAATAGGAATATAATAAATATAGAGTTGAAATGATTAGCCATACAGATTTATAAAATGTAATAATTACTGAAAAAAATCTTTTTAGTTGTTTTTTTTATTTTAATTTTTAAATTTATAATCATTTATAAGACATAATTCACATTATTAAATATCAATATTGTCAGACTACTTTGTCTATATTTCATTAGCTTAGTTTGGGAGGATTTAAAGGACGACTGTCGATGACTTCGGAAAGCAAACAAATTTTATTTCGGATTTAGGTTCTGGTATTGTACTGGGTATAATTTAATTTTTTCTTTTTTATACCCTTGCATAGGGTATTATGATTTCTCAGTTTTAAAGCCTTTTGAATGAAACTTTCCGAAAAGTTGTTTTTCTATTGCAGCTATTAGAACCGTCGAAACGGTTTTAATATTTGGTGCTACAGAAAAAATTTGTTTTGAAAATCAACAAAACTTTATTTTTTTAAATATGTACATAAAAAATGATAGAATAGTAAAATTTTGGTTATCTGCAAAGGTATATAAACCGAAATTATATTTTTTCTTGTTTAAGACGATATGCATTTACTTGTTATATATAATTGTATACACCCATATTTCGCCTTTACGGATATAAAAATATCCTGGTTTATTTAAATATTCTAATAATGTCGTATAATTGTTTCAGAATGGCGGTGGTACTGGAGAAGTTGGATTACGTTCCAATGGACACCCCGGAGATAACCCTTTCTATAGCAATATTGACAGTATGCCGGACATACGACCTCGTAGAAAATCCATTCCCCTTGTGTCTGAACTGGTAAGCCCTCTAATAATTTGTTCATTTATTTTACTTATCGAAGCAATACAGTTAACATAAAAATAAATATTTTTTTTTAATAACTCATGGATCGTCTATGTTAAAATACAAGTACTTATTAACTTAATTTTCTATGATCCTTTGCTTACTTTTACATACCCTTATTAAAATGTCGGTTTCTAACGACGATGATTTGATGGACGGCAGGTTCTCAAGGTATAGACTAAAGTCTTCCAACTCAAAATTTTTTATTATATCAATTTTACTAGCCGTTTTCAAATAAATAAGTAATTTCTATTTACATTTTAAATTCACTGATACATGCCAAGTGCAACATTTATTGTTGTTTTTTATTTTAAATGTAGTTGTGCACTGTAGACTCCATAAAACACAAATTTAAGCGTAAAACAAGAGAGAACGCTATAGTCGGGTGCCCCGACTATCAGATACCCGTTACTCAGGTAAAGGGAGTGCGAGGGAGATGGAGATAGAAACTTTGATCACGCATAACTTTTTAACGAATGGTCCGATTTGAAAAATTTCTTCTACATTTCGATAGGTATTGATAAACACAATAAAACTGCATTTTTACTTTTCCGAAATATTTAAATTTTTAAAATCGTATATAAGCGATTGTGGGCGTTAAAGGGGGCGTGGCACCTTTTTGAAAACTTGCGCTGCGTAGGAACTCCTAGAATCTGCATGCAAAATGCCAATCTTCTAGCTTTTATAGTTTCCGAGATCTCAGCGTTCATACGGACAGACAGACTGACAGACAGACGGACAGACGGACAGACGGACATGGCTATATCGACTCGGCTAGTGACCCTGATCAAGAATATATATACTTTATAGGGTCGGAAACGCTTCCTTCTACCTGTTACATACTTTTACACGAATACAATATACCCTTTTACTCTACGAGTAACGGGTATAATAAACTTATTCTGGCAGGAAAAACATAAAAAATTATTTATCAAAAATATATTTTATAAATGGCTTGTGTGATGTTAGAATATAAACATAAAAGTTCTAAAAAATATAAAACAAATTAAAACCGTATAGTCAATCGATTAATATATTAATATATTTGTGTAAGAAAATTAAGTACCGGAGGATACAAAGTATTTATGAGATCAAATTAAAAAAAAACACATGAAAAAATATGAACTAATTATGAATTACATGATTAAACAAGAAATAAACAAGCCGAAGTTTATATACCCTTGCAGTTATTACAAAACTATTACATTTCGATTTCTATGCCTATATTACTAAAAAACAATGAAGCTATGTCGATTTTGAGCTGCATGTTCCATCGTTTCTATGGCAGCTATATGATATTGTTGTCTGATTTTTATACAAATCATCTCAAAGGAATATTTTGATAAATAGAAAAAAGCTAAATAAAAATATTTAATTTTTTTTTAAGTTTTCTATATAATTCAATTAAAACCATAATTCCATTGTATTTAAATATTACCAAATTCCAAAGAACAAAAAAAAATTTAAAAACAACAAAGTTATACTTTTATACCCTTGCAGAGGGTATTATAATTTCAATTAAAAGCTTGCAACGCATTGAAGTGATCAGCATCACCAGGAGAGAGTAGATCTCGCCATGTCCGTCTGTCTAATTAAATTAAAATCGGACATTTATATCATAAGCTCCCATAGAAAAATTAAAAAATTAAAAAAATAGAAATAAATTAAATTTGCTGTTTTTTATTTATTAAAATATCCCTTTGAGATATATTAATTATTTACTATATTACGCTTTTAGTGTTTTCAAAATCGAACAACAATATCATACAGCTGCTATAGAAACGATGGCGAAATAGTATAGGCTAGAAATCAGATATAGTCGTTTTGTAATAACTGCAAGGGTATATAAACTTCGGCTTGCCGTCGGCTTTAAAAAAAACTGTTTTTCAAAGTTCTAGTTATTGCTTGAACAATTATTTGATCAAAAGCCAGAAAGTGCTACTTTTCTGGTTTTTGATCAAATGATTGTTCAAGAAATAACTGGAACTTTGAAAACATTTTTTTTTAACTCCGATCTGAAGGTGGGATTGTAATGTATCAAAAAAAGGTATTGCTCAGAAGCGGAAGTTTTGTAACAATCTCGTATTAGATACAAAGCTGCACCTTTTTTTACAGTGTACAACCATTTTGGTCAGTTGATTGTAACACAAATACTTAATATCTAAGAATGTTGATATGTAAGAAACTACCTAACGACAATGCGTAGACATAAATTCATACATTGAAAACCCAAGATCAATGATCATGCATTAAATAGCAATGCATAGTTTGAACATTATTTATATACACTTGCGGAGGGTAATGCAGTGAAGGAGACCATTCCAATATATTTTTTTGATCAGCATCCCTAGGAGTGTCGATCTATCCATGACAGTCAGTTAATTAAGGGGTTATCCGGGTCTTGGAGCACGAAAAAAAGCCTATTTTCGTAAATTTTTTTTAAAGATCATATAGCAATTTCACAAATTTCATTTATTGTACATTAATGTTTATGGTTTGACCAACATTGTGTAAAAATTTGAACCAAATATTTTTAAAATTGAGCCGTTGAGGCAGGCTTGAACTTGACCTCATAAAAAATTGTGTCCTTGCGGTAGGCAAAATATCTCCGCCAATTTTTGTCTGAAATCAAAAAGCCAAAATTATTCTGATAGTGTATGTGTCTCGCTTGTCCTCTACGAGCCATTTTTTTTTAAAATTAAAAATTGAATTTTTTGTAGCGCTTTTCATAAAAAGTGTCATTTTTTACGTAAATTTTGGCCATATTTTGGCTTATAAAATGAGTTGTAATTAAAAATTAAAAAAATCCCTCCGTTAAGGACAAGAGAATTATGTCTAAAAGAAGTGTGCAAAATCAGAAGTTGATATAGTTTTTGAGAAATCGTGACTACCGACTTCAAAAAAGTGGTTTTGAGAAAAACGCGTTTAAAGTGCCGCATCTGCCCGACGCCAGAGCCAGAATTGCCTGTTGTGACGTTCGACGCACTGAGCTTTAAATTTCTCCCATTCCTACATTTTTGCTTCGATCGACTTGAAATTTTCAGACTACATTTCTGAAACTCTGTACTATTATATAAAAAAGTTTGAAAAAAATGAATTTTTTGAAGTGTAACCCCTTAATTTAAAACAAATTAAAATTTTGATGATTTTTTACATTTTGAATATACTCCGAGATATAGAAACTTTAAACATATAATGAACTTTAAAAAACGGACAACTATATCAAAAATCTGACAAAGGGACGGTCGAAGTATTTATCGAAGAATCGACATAACTCATTGTTTTCAAAGAAATACAAAAAAAAATATTATTTATTTAAGCTTCGGTTTGCCGAAAAAATAAACAAATTTATTTCATATTTGAACACTTTTTTTTATTTTTAAATTCCTTAAGAACACGGCCAAGAGAAGCTATTTGGCTATATACCTATTTTTAAACTTTTAGGTTTAGGCTTTTACTTACAGCAAAGTGAAGATCTGAGGTGGTCCTATTTATTTGCGTATAACTCCAGTTCCAATAGCAGTTTCTTAGTGCGATTAATTAAATTACAAAATTGTTAATAGAACTATTATATATAATTTTCCAACAATTGATGATTTAAAAAAAAATAAATTCCCTTCAACTGATAAAAGCACTAAGGGCTACGATTATTTTTCAGTTATGATTTGGTTCACCTGTTGAAAATAACGATTATGAAACCGTTTGAACACTCTGCAGTAAAGTGTAAAGATTCTTGATGGCGACTACAATGCCAATGGTAGAACATTTTTTTAAAGGTCCCAATAAAAATTAAATTTAAAACTACATCGAAAATTATATAAGAATTAAATTAGTACCTTATTACCGAAAAATACATCATTCAAGCTATAAATACGTCTTAAAACGCAACTTCAAAAAAACATGCGTATTTAGTAAGCTGCCGTGAGTAATTGATGATTTTTGATTCTTTTGGTCAACGGTTCTCAGCTACAGCTACATCATGCGCCAGCAAAACAGGATCGATGTAATCTGTTAAGTTTGCATGAAAATGAGCAGATAATGGTTGGTAGATAACAAACGTACACGCTTGTAACGCAAATCTTTTAGAAAACATAGAAAGAACTTAAGCAAAAATACAAAAATGATATTCGGATAGATGCGATTTTAAATATATAAATCGTTACCAATAATTAAGAAATAAACATATTGTACTCGTACATAAAAATCAGTGCACCTATAATTGTATTTATCTCCAATTTGTATATTTTTCCAACGATTTTTATTTGAATTGCATACTGCCTGTTACGCTTCCTCAAATTATACTTGAAGCTTGAAAACTTATTGTAATTTTTTAAGTATCTGCAGTAGAGTTGCGATGAAGTAGCTTAATTTGCTTAGTATGTTTTGACAACCACGTTTCAAAAGAAGAATTTAAAGACTTTTATATTTACTGAATACACAGTCTGCACTCTTAGAGGACTAAAATTATCTCTACTTTTCTTTAGACAATGGCCGCTACAAAACGAAATGCTGGACTTACCTCCGCTGTTCCTCGTGCAACGCTTAATGATGAAGAACTGGTAAGGATTTAATAATAAGTTAAGTCTTAATTATTTTGAGCATTAAAAGCATGGGTAAAAAAAAGGGAACGACTACATCAAAATTTAATTAAATTACTAAAATAAATGAATTGAATTGAAAAAAAGTGATTACAAAATAGTAGGATTGCATTCAAAAAATATATTTCTAAAAATTATTACAAACGATGATGGGTGAATGAACGATGATGAGCTTGTATAAATGACAATTAGTTATCTTATAATCGGGACATCGTCATGCTATAACACATTTTTAATCAATTATAAATGGCATATTTGACATTTATAGACCTAAGGATCTAAGAAAATCCTGAAGATTTAAAAAAGAAATATAAGCGATTAATTAATTAAATAACACATTATTTATTATTTATCATTATCATATTGTCAAAGTTATAAGAGACTTCGCCGTGACGAAGCAGTTTCGGCTTTGGATTTAAGTTTGAAATTAACTTGTAACGTAACCTACTCATAGGTTATGTTGAAATAGTACGGTTTTGAGCATGTACTAATTGCGGTACATGTATACTCAAATTGTTTTTTTTTTCCAATCCATAGAAAATGCACGTATACAAAAAAGCTCTACAGGCTCTGATCTACCCTATATCTTCGACAACGCCACACAACTTTTTATTATGGACAGCAACTTCACCAACGTACTGCTACGAGTGCGAAGGTCTGCTGTGGGGAATAGCACGGCAAGGAGTGCGATGCACTGAGTGCGGTGTAAAGTGTCATGAAAAGTGTAAGGACCTGTTAAATGCTGACTGTCTTCAGCGTAAGTATTTTGAATACATAGAGCTGAACGCAAAAGATCCGTGATCTTTTCTTTTAACAATAAAATTTAGGTGCTGCTGAGAAGAGCTCAAAACACGGTGCCGAGGATAAGGCAAATTCGATCATTACAGCCATGAAAGAGCGAATGAAGCAGCGAGAGCGAGAGAAACCAGAGATTTTTGAGTTGATTAGGTAATATTTTAATTCAAATATTGACTTGACTAGTGCGGATAATCGCAGCGATATAAACATATAAATTTTCACTTTTAAACCATTAATGGGGGTACTTCACAATTATATGCACAACAATTGATATGCAGCCCTTAAATCTTACATAATACAATAAAATTAAGTTAGTTAGTCTTGTAAGCGGCCGGAATCAAAAAAAACAAAAGATAGTAAACTTTGACATGGCATTCATCCGTATAGAGCCGTATTCAGCGTTGAGGAGAAGAGTCACACTGGTCATATGAAAGCTGTCAAACAAAGCGTCCTGGATGGCACAAGCAAATGGTCGGCCAAGATAGCAATCACAGGTTTGAGATTGTACACAACTAACTTCTAATCGTCGTATTTTTTCTGTTGTCGGTTTCATTTGAATTGGATGTATGTGAATGTATTTGCAATTCGCATTTGAATGACACGCTGTATTTATTATTATTATACTGGTCTATGAGAAATACAATATTGATTTACAATAATGAATGTGCTTATATGTAACTATATAACATTTTTGTATTTGAAAAATGTGTGATATGCATGTACGCATTACATACATGTATATTTGTAAAATCCACTTATAAAATATACTACGGGAACATTTAATTTGCAAACTATTAATGAAACTACATATTTCCAAATGAAAAAGTGATCAAAACTGAAATGTCATACTGCATGAAACCAGTATTAGTAAGCCTTTTGGATTCAATTTATGTGTGGTCGTCATCCCAAAATGTTAGATACGAAACATTTAAACTTATACAAATGCAAATACAAAATAAGGGTCAACAACGATTAGTGGCTTTTAAATACATTTTTGAATTTTTTTTATACAATATTATAGGATTGTAGTTATGTGTAAAGGTCGAAATAATATACCTCCAAAGGGAAAAACGTGTGCACCCGCCTAGCCAATTCAATAACATACTTTTAGTGTTTTGATATTTCAGAAGCGTTTATGAAGTATTCATTGTAAACCCGAATCATAAATGTATGTAATCGATTTAATTTAAGGATGACATTCGGTGTGGATCCCGATACTCACATAGATTCATTAGAACAGGCTGAGCACGCAACTGTTGAGGGAACATCTAAGTGGTCATGCAAACTAACAATTACAGGTACACAAACAACGCCATTTGGCATTAAATAAATTTATTTTTTCTTTTGTCAAATGATTTTATCGTTTTGGCCTTGCATCGTTAATTTCCAATTTCAGTACCGTCAACGTAATTATTGTAATTAATTACTGGATCATTATAAAAAATTATTGATTTTTAGTTTCACGTTTTGCTAATCAATTTTTGAAATATTTTTTCATATAAAGTCTTCTTTACGGCTTTGCTTCCTTTTCCCTATTTATTATTTTTTTGAAATAGGAAAAAAATGTAGGATTGGATTTTTTTAAAGCATTTCTATTAAAACAAGGTTTTGAAAGGGGTGAAGCAGTAAAAGGATAATTTCAAGATTTGTATAAAAAGAAGAGTGATAGTTTATGTATTTCATGTATATTTTTTATTAAGGTTCGTAGTAAAACTATACGACACAAAAAACTGTTGTTTAACCTTTGTCAAATTTGTACCGTTAATGGAGGGATTGAAATTTAACTTCTTATAGAACAAAGTGTTATGTACATATATTAAAGAGGTACGCTTTCACCATTTATCTTCTTTTAAAAAAACCGTTAATTTCCCTTAAAATGTGTCTTCTTCTTGAAAAAAAATATGTGACAACAAATTGTGGCTTTATTCAATAGTCAAACTTAAGAGAGAGCTTTCAACAGGGTATTTCAATTTCAGTCATATATATTTGATATATATATTTTATATGTTTTGTATATATTTTATATATATTTTATTGATCACCAGGAGAGCCGATCGAGCCATGTCGATGTCTAGACTCCTAATAGTTCTATCCATGTTCGTCAGTCCGTCCGTTCATCTTTTCGTTTGTTCGTTATTACGCAAACTAATAACCAGTTTTATTGTTTTTTGTAGTTTTAAAGTTTTTCTAAAAAGACTTTAATATATTTCAGAAAGTATAAGTCGAAATGAAACATACGAACAATCGAAAAAATAAATGGAACAAAAATAATTCCCCATAAAATCAAAGAAATAATAATTTTAAATAGTTTTAGGATTATGGTTTTACGATTATTTAAAAACCGGACGACTATATCAAATAGCACAATAAAAATATATCTGAAATTCGGCATAGTTTCATTACTTATTCATAATCAAAATGAATTCGATGTTTGCTTCCCTTCTTGTCTTTGTTAAAAACTAAATATCAATGGGCATCTCCAGTTCCCAAACTAAAAAAACATTCTAGGCTTCGACCCATATTAAACTGATTGCATTTTTTCCCCACTTCAAACTATTTGAACTTTAATGTATTGTTTATTTTCATAATTATGTGTAGTACCTTCCAATAGTTTTTTTTCCAAACTTAAGGATTTAAAAAAAAACAAAAGATGTTTTGAAATATTTTTGAATAGTTGGTGCTAAACAACAGGCTTCCAGTCTAAGTATCTTAGGGAAAACATGAAAGGAAGCAAACTTCGGCAATCCGAAGTTTATATATTCTTGCAGTTATTACAAAACGACCAAATTTTGATTTTTATGCATATATTTCTAAAAACAATGAAGCTAAGTCGATTTTGAGCATTATGATGTATATGTCCGATTTTAATTTAATTACACCGTAAATCCAAGGTATTTAAATATTACAAAAAAATCAAAAACAACAAAGATATTCTATATGATATAGTCGCCCAATTCGGCTCGTTCCGGCTATATACTACCTAAAATAGAAAGACAACTTTTGCGAAAATAGCTTTAAAACTTAGGGACTAGTTTGCGTAGAAACTAGATCGACTCTCCTGATGATCAAGAATATATATATTTTATAGGGCCGGAAATAATACCTTCACTGCGTTAAAAACTTCTGACTAAAATTTTAATACCTTCTGCAAGGGTAGACTAATATTATTAAATAAGGCCGTTACGTTGCCGAAAAATAAGTGGTTTTATATCAGAACAAAAATACAATGAAGCTTGCTTACCTAGCCAATTCGAAGATTATATACCCTTGCAGCTTGATAAAAATGTATTGTGCTAAAAAACGACTAACGACTATGTTTTTTAACTTATATGAGAATATGTTCAACAACAATAATAAATTATGACGATTATTCAATAATTTCCTGTTCGTTTTCCGATTGATCTTATGGCAGTTATTTGATATTTTAATAAGACATAATAAACCTTCAAAAATACTTATATTTCTTAGTAATTTCGTCTTATATATCCAACTAGGTTATCATTTTTTTTCAATAAATATGATTTAGTCATCTATTTATTTATTTACTTCTCTTGACGTAATTGGATTAATATCCTATCTGGCTACTTACATACAAAATAGCCACTGGACGCTATTTTAAGATTATCCTTCCATTCTACATGTATATTTAGTTATCTTACCCGTTCCGTACAAAAAATACAAGAAAGCAAACCCCGAAAAAACATGTTTTTATATTTCCTTTCAGCTATTACAAAAATAATATATTCTATAAAACGAATATATTTCTATTTTTTGCGAGTGTGCTTAAAGTTTAAAGATTCTTATACATTCGTCGATCCCTGACAGCTAATATTTCACACAAGTTTATAATTGTAGTTAAAGTAGATTGTACCCAAAACATTTTTATTAGGTTATCATTACAAACTCTTGTGCCCTAAACAATAAATATATTGAAATAGTCAATATATTCAAAACATAACATAATTAAAACATACAATTTTCTGCATACATTGGAATTGTATAAACAAAATTAAACTATTTAATAAAAGGAAAATAAATTAAACAAACAATAAATTGTATAGAATTTAATTTCCTTTAAAGGGTTAAACTATCTTAAACTAATGTTATTTTTCAAATTGTTTTTATGTGTTATTAACCATTCCAGTGTGCATCAAAAATATGTTAGCTGTTATGTTTATACTCAGCTATACTTTGACTATAGGAAGGGAGTTTCTATTCTTGTGAAATATTAGTTCAATAAAATAATAAAAGCTTTAAAGAGGACGGAGGGACGGACGGACAGACGCACATGGCTAGATCGACTCTCTTGGTGATGCTGATCAAGAATATATATACTTTATAGGGTCGGAAATGTCTCCTTCACTGCGTTACAAACTTTTGACTGAAATTATAATACCTTATGCAAGGGTATAAAAAAAATTTAAAATATTACGAAGAGGTACAGAAATACTTAGGTGATGTTTGTTGTTTTCTTTTTTTTAATACATTATTTTTTTTTAGTTTAAGCTCTATTATTTAAATGCATTACAGAAGCAAACAAATATTAACCTACACGATAGATAGTTGTCTAGATAGTAAAGTTTTATAGAAATATAGTTTCTACAAAAGAAATCAACCAAAATGTATTTTATTATATTTGCATGCCCCTTAAGAACAAATTAAATTAAGGACAATTCACAACATTAATTGATTTAGATTAAATTTGACTACAGTTCGTTTACAAATGGTTTTATTATTATCCTATATATGGATGAGGCTTGTAGGTTGAGCCTGCGTGTAACTTACTTTAACTTAACTTTAACTTTTTGACAGAGTATAGCACATTAAAATAAAACATAACGTATTTCGACCTACTTGTCTCTTCCCTAAAAAGTGTATATATATTTGGCCAGTATCATTAGGACATAATTTTTATGCCATTTACTCCTTAAGTTTGGGAGCTATACACATACATGTATACACATTTGTTTTTATTTTACTCATATTAAGTTGCACTCATTTTTAATGGAATATATATCAATATTCACAAACAATCTGTCCAAATGAGCATATCCATGTCGACTTTTAGAATAATAGCAAATATGTCAATATAATTTTTATAATCTATATTTATTACAGCATAAAGTTGTTTGTTCTGATCGAGTTTTAGACCTTCTCCATGCCAATTTGAAATCATGCCCTTTTTATAACGCTTTCTTATGTGAGTTTATACATGAGGTAAATTGTTTGTAAAATAAAAAAATCAAACAGTTGCTTAGGTTACATATTAGACAAAAACTTTTGAGAAATGAGTAAGATAAGGGCCCTGTCCAAGATTACATACTCTCTGCTAAGGTAAAATAACAAAAAAAAGATACACAATAGGCCCTGTCTTTTAAATTTGTTTTCGGGATTCTCGACTGTGGAATTTATTGAATTCGGACATATAGCAGCACTATATTTTTATTTTAAATTTAACCCTTAAAAATAATTTAAAACCAGGCTTTAATAATCCCAAACCCTACTATATGTATATATTTATTCATTTCGCCATTTTATTCAATAAAAAATACGTTTTCGAACTAAATATTTTTTTGAACCTCTTAGTGTGTGTGAGGCAATCTAGTGGTCAGTAAATATCGATTTCCCCAGTACATTTTTCTAAGCATATATTCTATGGTACACACTTAAAAAAATTCATTACAAAGCAAGCTAATTGAACCTGATGTATCCTTTTTCTTTACATGTGCATTTTGTATAGGTTTATATGATAAAGCCTAATTAAAATTATTCAACTTATGTATATCTTGCTTTTGACTTTCTGCTCTTTACTTTACAAGTGTAATTAGTTTTTAAAATTGTACAGAACTAAATGTTTTTATTATCGAAAATATACCTTTAACACTTTTACCTTTGTCACTTGCATCTTTCTGACTAATACTCATATGTACATAAATGTATATACTTATGTTAACCAATTAATTGTATGTACGTACATACATGTATATACATATATGTATATGTGACAGTGTAATCAAGTCAGCAGCACTGCACTGTTCCTGCTGAACTGATATTGAAGATCATTATTAAAAACACTCCGTTTTTTCTCTTCTTCTTTCTCCCTTGAAAATCAATTCTTAACACTGAAAAAAAATTAAAAAATTAAAAAATGAAAAATAACTCTTTAAAAACACATAAAAAAAACTCAAAACTATTTTCTTCGTTTCAAACCCCAACAAATCGTTTTAAAATTAAAAATACAAAATTAAAAACTGTCTTCCTTGTATGCAATCGACAATCAAAAATTTAACTAACTTGATAAAATTTTAAAATTTAACATCTGGAACATTATACTGATCGGCATGGAACATCTGATTTCCACACAATTGGTGATTTTCGGATTATGGCGTGGGAAACGAACAAATTGATCAACCTTCTATATTTGACCTGATTGATGCAGTGATTTGTGCTCAAGGCCTGATAGCGAAGGATAAAAGCGGTACCAGTGATCCATATGTGACGGTGCAGGTTAGCAAGGTGAAAAAGCGAACGCGAACTATGCCACAGGAACTTAACCCTGTGTGGAACGAGAAGTTTCACTTGTGAGTACTTGTGCCCTAAATTCATTCCTTTATGTTTTCTCAACACAAACCAATACAACAACTATGTATGTTAGCATACATTAATTAAACCTAAGATGCACTCTCTCTCACGTATGTATCCCTGTTGGTTCCTTAGAGGTGTGAAAATGGCAAAACTAAGTTATTTTAGTGCAACAATTATGTAATAATAGTATTAAATGACTTTGTCGTCTTTAATAAAAAAAAATGATTGCCTTAATTATCTAAATCAGCATTGCAAATAAAGTTTATCGCAATAATCATTTATAAGATTAGATGATTACAACTTACTCGAAAGATGAAAGTTTGGTAATGCGGTCCACTTGGATCCCCTATAAAGAAAATAGCACTTTGATTGGTTGGTAACACCGAAATTGGTTTACCAGAATACCAGGAATTGCCACGAAAACAAACGAAACAAGTTTCATTTTCTAAATCAGGGACTCCAACTGAACTGAAAACCAAATATCTCCACAGTAAATTGTCGATTAAACTTTATAATCCTGTGCTATTTATTTGAGATTATTATGGATATACTGAAAAGGTCTTTATCGCATTTTTACAAGAATGAAACTAAAAATCAGCTACAAAAACAAAAACTTATAATTTAAGGTACAAAATAAATAAGCATAGAGGTGTTATTTACCAAAGTGTAACTTTGAAACCCCTTGAGGCCTGATAACCGCGTCTATTGTAGGAGCAACCAATTTAGGATAAATAACTTTAAAACAAGAAAAGATGAAGACGACTATGTATATTTCGATTTTTAGGCGTATCCGTATGCTTAAAAGCAATAAAGCCATGTCTATTTTTTTATTTTGATCGTTCCTAGGACAAATATATGGTAGTTGTCCGATTTGTACAAAACTTAAACCGTATTTATGAAACTGCCAAAAAATACAGAGTGTATTGAAATATGTTTAGATGTGACAAAATTATTATTTTATTTTCCATTTTTCCCGATTGTACCTATGAAACCTTTATTTTCCTATCTTCTAGCGAATCGTGCCGTACGATAGACGGCTGCGCCCCTCGGTCGGTTGGGCGGGTAAGTGGGCCGTGGAACTCCGCGCGAAAAAAAAAAAACTATATGGTAGTAGGTTGAGCAAGCCCGTTCTTATACCTGCAACAAAAAGAAGACTTATTTGAATGCATCATCCAAAAATCTTTAAAATTTAGGGACTAATTTGTGAGGAATCGGACAGACGGTCAGACGTGACTAGACCGACTCGCCTAGTGATGCTAATCAAGAACTTATACATATATTTTATAGGGTCGGAATGTGCCCTTCACTTATTATACCCTCTACAAGGGTATACAAATAAATATCTGTTCCAACACTAAAATCACAATAATTAAACATTTTACAGTAATACTTTATTTTAATATCCTATTAAGAAGTTTTATTAGGCAACATTTAATTAAGCGGAAGAAAAAAATCTAGTTAGCTTGACAAATTTTGAGAAAAATTCGCTTAGGACCTTCTTTTTTTGGGTTTGCCAAAAATCCCCAACCAATTTTATTTGCTTGTACATAATGAAACAAAAACGCCTCTTAACGATTTAAAAAGTCGTGACGATTGCAATTTCTGATATCAAATTTTGTAACGAAATAAAATCGTACAACGGTCTTTTATTTCAAGCTGTTTAACGAAGTTAGAAAGAAAGTTAATGCACAACATGCTTAGAATGCTGTTAGTCGTGCTGAGGCCTATCGAATTCCTTAATTTGGATTTAATTAGGTTAACCTGGCTAAAAACCCTTTCTATTTCCGCGTTTGACCAGGGCAAACATAATATTTGGATGGCCACGGTTGCCAACCCAAAAAATCTTCGGTTTCCACCAGAATCTTTAAATTTGAGCACCTCAAACCAAAATTTGTTTGTGTCGCTGATGTTTTCCCATTTGATCGAAGTAATGTTATTATATTGGCGTTCAATTTCTGCAATATTCTTACATTCCAGGAACTCTAAAATTTCTGTGATGCTTTTAATTTCTAAAAAAGCCAGAATTCCCGCTTCTCACAATTCCCGCAATTCACAAATTTTTCCCGCAGTTAGTCTTCAAAAAAAGCCAGTTTTGACGGGAAAAAATCCGAATTGGCAGCACTGCTTGTTACATTTGGCACAGCGGGACTTTTTCTTTCCCTTTTTCGAAATGTCCCAAATCTTTGCAGTTGTAACATTTCCCTTGGTAAATATTCTGTAAATTATATTCTCCGAAATTATTTTGATAATCAGGGAGTCCCACTGCACCAGAAAACCAAACATTTATTTTTGGAGTAAATTTTCGATTTAACTTTCAACATCAACAATAAGATAAATATAAAAGGTTCATGCCTACTCATCAATTATATTTTTTTTATTGATTTATCAATATCTGTCTACTGAGTTTATAATTCTAATGCGTGGCAGAAAATAAATAAGTAAAATAACTTTTATTCTGTTGATGTAAGATCTTTAATCTTTAATTTAAATTTTGATTTTTATGCCAATATTACAAAAAACCATGAAGCTGTGTCCATTATGCGCTGCATTTTGCGTTTCTATGGCAGCTATATTTTATTGTCTGATTTTGACAAAAATAAAAGCTTAATTCTAATATAGTAAATAATCACTATATCTTAAAAGAAATAAATAGAAAAACAAAAAAATACATTTTTATTTTATTTTGATTTTTAATTTGTTGAATGTTCTATGGTATAGATGTCCGATTTTAATTGAATTAAGCCCGTATTATTACAAAATCCTAAAGAACAAAAAAAAAATATTAAAAACAAGAAAGTTATACTTTTTAAAATGTTTTTTTTTTCGATGTTCCTATTGGAGCTTTATGATATAGTCTGGACTTCCTGCAATAGAAAGACAACTTTTGGGAAAGTTTCAAGAAACTTTAAAATTGAGGGACTAGTTTGCGTAGAAACGGACGGACAGACGCACATGGCTAGATCGACTCCCCTCGTTATGCTGATCAAGAATATATATATTTTATAAGGTCGGGAACGTCTCCTTCACTGCGTTGCAAACTTTTGACTGAAATTATAGATTCTTAAAAACGAAATCTAAGTATTTTTGTAGATATTTTTATATAAAGCTCTATTAACATAATTTAATGCCGATAGCGCTGCAGTAACAAAACTGATGTCCAGTGTTATCAATGCCTAAAAGCGTTTTTTCAAAACCAATTGCCAAATAAAAATAGACATGCACACAACTTGTACGTTTAAAATGATCAAATTGCTTATTAAAGTGATAACTTAATTATTGTTTGTTGGGTGGATTTAGCGAGTGCCACAACTCCTCAGACCGTATAAAAGTACGAGTTTGGGACGAAGACAACGATCTTAAGTCGAAGCTTCGGCAAAAATTAACTCGAGAGTCAGATGACTTTTTGGGCCAAACAATTATTGAGGTGCGTACGCTTTCCGGTGAAATGGATGTGTGGTACAACTTGGAGAAGCGCACAGACAAATCGGCCGTATCAGGTGCGATACGGCTTCACATATCCGTTGAAATAAAAGGCGAGGAAAAGGTAGCTCCTTATCATGTTCAATATACATGCTTGCACGAGAATCTGTTTCATTATCTTTGTGAAGAAAATATCGGAATGGTAAGCATTTTATCATTTACCTTAATAAGCTTTGTTTTATTCAATTAAACAAATGCAACGCTTGAACTATTATCATAGGTTAAACTGCCAACTCAGAAAGGTGACGATGCTTGGAAACTGTATTTTGATGAAATTCCCGAGGAGATTGTTGATGAGTTTTCAATGCGGTATGGAATTGAGAATATCTATCAGGCAATGACGCACTTCCATTGCTTATCTGCCAAATACCTTTGCCCCGGAGTACCAGCCGTAATGAGCACACTGTTGGCCAACATAAATGCATATTATGCTCATACGACTGCTTCTTCAGCTGTGTCGGCCAGTGATCGTTTTGCGGCCAGCAATTTTGGGGTAATTTTTTTCCTACTGATTAATATAATCAATAAAAATAAGACTATGTTACATGTTTTGAAAAATGATTTGTACCGTTTCTTAGAAAGAGAAATTTGTGAAACTGCTGGACCAATTGCACAACTCACTGAGAATCGATTTGTCAATGTACAGAAACAACTTTCCTGCATCGAGCCCAGAAAAATTAATGGATCTAAAGTCGACAGTCGATTTATTGACCAGCATAACGTTTTTCCGCATGAAGGTAATTTAACTTTAAATTTAGTTTCAATAAATTACATTTTTAATATATCCACTCAGGTACAAGAGCTATCTAGTCCCCCGAGAGCGAGCACAGTGGTTAAGGACTGTGTTAAAGCTTGCCTGAGGTCCACTTATCAGTTCTTATTTGAGAACTGCTATGAACTCTACAACAGAGAATTTCAGGTAAACGTGTTAAATAATTGAACCACAAAATATTCCATTAGATGAGGAAAAACTGGAGTGTTAGCTCACACTCGTAGGAAAACCGTAATTAATATCACTATTTCATGTTCAAATCAAGTATATTTTCTTTCGACTTAGAGCCTCAAACAAAAGTAAAAGAATTTATTATTTTTAAATTATAACTTTTTATACCCTTGCTAGCTTTCCTTTCTTGTTTATAATATCATCATCCGAAGTTACCGGGGCTGCAATTAAGTTTTCAAATATCCTAGAAGTTATAATTTTATTTAAAAGTTTAAAAATCTTTACTTTTAAAAATACTTCATAAAATAATGGCGTAACAAGTTTTTTACAATGCAGCCCTAGCTAAAAATAAGGTGTTTTGGTTTTAATAAATTTGTATGTTTTTATGGTTAACGAGGACGGAAGCTAACTTCGGCAAGCCGAAGTTTTAATACCCTTGCAGACTTTGCCGAAATTGCTAAAACTGAAAAAGTAGCGAAAGGAATAAGGTATACATAAATAAACTAGATTTGCATCTTTTAATGTCAATTGCTTTTATACTGCAAAAATGTCATATAAAAATAGAAAAAAAGGGATACTTTCGCAGCCTTTAACTATTTTTCCTACGGAAGCTATAAGAAATAGACGTCCGATCGGCAAGCGTTTTTACCCTAATCCAGATATGCGTAAATAAATAAGACTTGGAAAAATGTATGTCAGTAGCTTACACACTACGCGAAAAAATCAGAAAATCATCAAATTTGGACCGATTTCACCCTGTTGTTCCTATGGGAGATGTAGGATATAGACGTCCGATCGTCACGTGCTTTTACCCTAATCAAGGTATGCATAAAAAAATACGATTTGGAAAGATTCATGTCAATTGCTTATATACTGTGCGAAATATCCTAAAAATCATTAAATTTTAACCGATTTCACCGTATTGTTCCTATGGGAGCTATAGGATATAGACGTCCGATCGCCAAGCGCTTTTACCCTGATCAAGGTATGCATAAAAAAAAAGATTTGGAAAGATTTATGTTAATAGCTTTTACACTGCGCGTAATATCTTCCATTCTTGAAAGTTATATCCGATTGTTCCTATGGGAGCTATAGGATATAGACGTCCGATTAGCACGCGCTTTTACCTTGATGAAGGAATGCATAAAAAAATACGATTTGTAAAAATTTATAACAATAGCTTTTACACAGCGCGAAATATTCTGAAAAACATAAAATTTGGACCGATTTTACCCTATTGTTCCTATGGGAGCTATAGGATATAGACGTCCGATCGCCACGAGCTTTTACCCTGATCAAGGTATGCATAAAAAAATACGATTTGGAAAGATTCATGTCAATAGCTTTTACACTGCGCGAAATATCATCAATTCTTGCTAGATATATCCGATTGTTCCTATGGGAGCTATAGGATATAGACGTCCGATCGGGGCGATTTTCAAACTTGATCTGCGTACACATGTTTTAGGACGAGTGTGAAAGTTTCAGATCGCTAGCTTTTAAACTGAGCTCGCAAACGGTATTGAAACAGACGGACAGACGGACAGACGGACATGGCTATATCGACTCCCCTATTGATCCTGATCAAGAATATATATACTTTATAGGGTCGGAAACGTCTCCTTCACTGCGTTACAAACTTCTGACCAAAATTATAATACCCTCTGCAAGGGTATAAAAATAGAACCAAAAGGTGCTTAATAGAAACTATTCAAATTTCTTTGATTAGTATCCTGTGAGTTATGGTGTAACACATCTCTGCCAAAAATATATATCTTAATAATATTGTTACCACACAGGTTGATCCCAACGAAGCCAAGCGTGCACCGGATGATCATGAACCCAAATTGGATAGCGTTGACTTCTGGCATAAGCTAATAGCTTTAATCGTGTCGGTTATTGATGAAGACAAGAACAGCTATGGTACAGTTTTGAACCAGTTTCCTCAGGAACTAAATATTGGACAGGTAAACTTGTAGTTTCCAATTTAAACTTAAGACATATTTGTAACACTTTTTTACTTTAATACATATGTGCAGTTATCAGCATCCTCAATGTGGCATCTTTTTGCTGTCGATATGAAGTATGCACTTGAAGAACACGAACAACATCGTCTATGCAAGTCATCGGCTTATATGAATCTTCACTTTCGAGTTAAATGGTTATATAGTAACTATGTTAAAGAAGTGCCTCCTTACAAAGGAGCGGTTCCCGATTATCCAGCTTGGTTCGAGCCTTTTGTAATGCAGTGGCTAAATGAGAACGACGATGTTTCATTGGAATATCTTCACGGCGCATTTAAACGAGACAAAAAAGACGGGGTAAGAACAAGGAGGCAAATACGGACTTGTTTGAGTTGATAAAATGTATTGATACCATGAGCAAATGTAGCTATCTAGACATGATATATTCTTTCGAGTTATTATATTGCCTCGGTACCTCTAAGAAGGTTTAAGGTTAACTTTATACCTTCTTATGGATGAAACCGTTTATTGCCGAACGGTTCTCAATCTTTGTTGCATAATTTTTTAAACCACCCTAATTTTTATATAAAAAACGCCCACAAGCCACAAGCTGTGGCCACAGTTTTGATGCTATTATGAAAATTTTAATTGATTGTATTTGTTTCGTCAATACCTATCGATTGGCCTAATTAAAGTTTGCCATGCCCACTCTAACGCCTAAAAACCCATTAAATGCTTAAGCCTGGCTAGCGCCTACATTTCCGCCTTTCATGGCCCGTGGTACCAATGTCTTGGGGTAGATGGCGCAACGGAGTAACGGGTATCTTATAGTCGAGGCACTCGACTATAGCGTTCTCTCTTGTTTTTTTTTAATTCACCGCTTATTTTGTTGAAGAGTTGATGTATACCTACAAAGAACTAAACTGGACGTATGTATATACTTTTTCGACCATTTTTGTTTCTCTTAGACTGAAGAACACTCCCATGTGGTGTGTATGTGTAAAAGGACACGTCTCTAAAATATATTGAAAAATGTGTGCAATCGGCGTAATTTTTAATATATATATATTTAAAATCTCCTTTTACACATACATACGAGGTGTGTTCAAAAAGTAAGGTGACTTTTCAAATTTCGCGGGCAACATATTTTCGATTATCGATTTTTTTGTTTTGTTATATTGGTACACTCTTCCCTAACATCTGTACCAAGTTTCAATGGAACATCCTCTTTTGTTTGGTTGTGAGAGGCGTAAAGTTACAAGTTATTTTGCGAGCTCGGCGATTTTTTGCTTTTTTCGGTCTTGGCTCGCCTGGGCTCTTCCATTGGGACGATTGGGCTTTGGTTTCGATATCATAACCATATACCCATGATTCGTCACCAGTTATGACCCTTTTGAGTAAATCTGGGTCGTCGTTGACGTCATTCAACAGCTCTTGAGCGATGCTCATGCGACGGTTCTTTTGGTCAAAATTCAGCAATTTCGGAACAAACTTCGCTGACACACGACTCATACCCAAAACGTTTGAAAAAATTTCATGGCACGAGCCAAGCGATATACCGACATCTTCAGCAACTTCTCTGATAGTGATTCGACGATTTTCCAAAACAATTTTCGTCACTGCTTGAACGTTTTCATCAGTTGTTGACGTGCTTGGGCGTCCAGAGCGAGGCTGGTCATTGGCATCTTCCCGGCCATCTTGGAAGAGTTTGTACCACTTGTACACATTTTTTTTACTCAGAACAGTTTCACCGTATGCCACTGTCAACATTTCAAGTGTTTCAGAGCACTTAATTTTATTTTTTACACAAAATTTGATGCAAATCCTTTGATCCATATTTTTCGATAGCAAAAAATCGCCGAGCTCGCAAAATAACTTGTAACTTTACGCCTCTCACAACCAAACAAAAGAGGATGTTCCATTGAAACTTGGTACAGATGTTAGGGAAGAGTGTACCAATATAACAAAACAAAAAAATCGATAATCGAAAATATGTTGCCCGCGAAATTTGAAAAGTCACCTTACTTTTTGAACACACCTCGTATATATATATATATATATTTATTTATTCATTTAAATGTTAAGTGAACATAAGTCAAGGATAAATAAATTAATTATAACACAATGAGTGAAAGACGTTAAGACGCTAGGGCCACTCTCCCCAGCTCAAGTACATCTTGACATACTTGTGCAGGTCGCTAGAGTAAACTGATATTTATATAAACAATAACAAAATTACAAAATGCTTTTTCTATTTGCATTGGGCTGTAGTTTCAAAAGAGCAGCGAGCACGCGCTTTTTTCAAATTCGGTAGTCGACGTATTTACGCAATTGACGCAATGTTTCGATGTTGTTAGCAAACTCGAGTGTCCTGATCCAGAAATTTGGAAACGTTACATGAGGCGTTTTGCTAAAACAATCGTAAAAGTGCTAATAGCTTATGCGGATATTGTGAAAGTAGAGTTTCCAGATCATATGAAGGATGAAAGAATTGTGAGTAGACAAATGTGCCGAGTATAATCATATATGACATTAACACACGCAAACTACTTTCGTGTTAATAGGCTTGCATACTTATGAATAACATTCAACAACTAAGGGTGCAGTTGGAACGAATGTTTGAGTCTATGGGAGGGGATAAGCTAGAAGAAGACGCAGCCAACATTTTAAAGGAACTTCAACAAAATCTTAATTCAGCGTTGGACGATTTGGCTTCACAATTCGCTATCAGGTAGGCTTAAATCGTTCAATACAGAATGCAAAATTTTTGAACTAATTATGTTTAGCTTGGAGCCGCGAATAACTCAGTCTGTGCGAGAACTAGGGGACATGCTACTTTCCATCAAAGGAGGCAGTGGGACTCTGGCCGCTGGTAACCTAGCAGCTCAAAGGAACGCGGTTGCCGTTGAGGCCGATGAAGTTTTAAGACCGCTCATGGATCTGCTCGACGGTTCTTTAACGCTCTATGCACAGTCATGTGAGAAAACTGTACTGAAGAGATTACTAAAGGAGCTTTGGAAAATCGTGATGCGAATCTTAGAGAAAACCATTGTTCTACCACCAATGACTGATAAAACTGTTTGTATACCGATTTTTTAAACTAAGTGATGATATTTATGTGTACTTATTTTAATAGATGATGTTTAAGCACCTTACCGACAACGCTAAAAACTTAGCATCTAATGCAAAAATTGAAGACATGGGTCGATTGTTTAAATCACATATGGCAGGAAAGCAGGATGTTAAAAGTGCGCTTAGCGGTGTAATGGACATATCAAAGGAAGTCGAAAAGAATTTGTCGCCCAAACAGTGTGCCGTGCTTGACGTTGCCTTAGATACAATAAAACAATATTTCCACGCCGGTGGCAATGGACTGAAAAAGACGTTTCTTGAAAAATCGTCAGAACTGCAAAGTTTACGTTACGCACTCAGTTTATATACACAAATGACGGACACACTAATCAAAACATTTATATCTAGTCAAGTTCACGAGGGTAAGTACAATTAAATGTGCCCAAAACGTGGTATATATTTATTAAACGTAAGTCTATTAATCAATTTTATACAACTAGATTATTAGCCATGCGTTTAATAAAGGAGTTTGGTTAGATGTTTGTAATGCATAGAAGGAGACATAAAGGAGTTACAATTTTGGTTAGATGTTTGTAATGCATAGAAGGAGACATTTCCAATCAACAAAGTATATATATTTTTAAACAGCGTCACCAGACAAATCCAAGTCAGCTCGAAACTTTCAAAATCTTCTTCTTTTATACGCAAGTAGTTCAAGAGAAAACAAGAAAGGAAGCAAACTTCGTCAAGCCGAAGTTTATATATCCTTTCAGTTATTACAAAAGAGTAAATTTCGATTTTTATACCCTTGCAGAGGGTATTATAATTTTGGTCAAAAGTGTGCAACGCAGTGAAGGACACATCTCCGATGTCGAAGTATGCTTCCTTTCTTGTTTATCTCGAGTTCTGGTAAACTCCGCTTGCGGATTGTCTAACAATTCGTAACTTTTACATTCGCAATGTAAGGAATACTGAAAGAATTGTCGTTCTGTGACAAGAAATGTACAAATCTCGATCGTATAAAAGATATAACTTAAAATGTATAATTTTCTTTGTTAAATATGGAGACTTCATTGTAATTTTATTCACTTTTCCTTGATGCAGTTGATCCTGAAAATGCTGAGGAGAGTGTCGGCGAAATTTCCGTGCAAATAGACTTATTCTCCCATCCAGGCACCGGTGAACATAAAGTGAACGTAAAAGGTGAATCGGACTATATATTTTCAATATACTGTTTTAACGCATTTTATGTATGTTTGCCTTCAGTTGTTGCTGCTAATGATCTTAAATGGCAAATACCGTCGGGTATGTTTCGACCATTTGTTGACATCAATTTAATCGGACCGCACCTGCAAGAAAAAAAACGAAAGTTCGCTACAAAGTCGAAGTCAAACAATTGGTCACCAAAGTACAACGAGTCTTTCAGCTTGTAAGTCATTTTGAAAAAAAAAACATAAATTGTATGATCTATGTAAATATGTCTTTTTAGTACTATTGGAAACGAGGAGCAGCTAGATTTTTTTGAGTTGCATATTTGCGTTAAGGATTATTGTTTTGCTCGGGATGATAGACTCGTAGGAGTAGCTGTAATCCCACTAAAAGATATTTCGGAAAAGGTTCGTAATATTTGTAAAAATAAAATACATTTAATTTACGCTATGCCTAACAGGGTTCTGTCGCATGCTGGTTACCCCTAATGAGACGTATTGAAATGGACGAGACGGGTTGGACAATTTTAAGGATTTTATCACAACGTAATAATGATGAAGTAGCCAAGGAATTTGTCAAGCTGAAATCGGAAATACGGCAGGAGCCGACGATGGGCACATAAGTCTTGCTTCCCGTTCTACAGAATCTACAAATCTTCACCTATTACATAATAATACTTATATTACTTTGACAAAATAGCATTATTTTTTTATTTTCCTATTTTTCATATAACAAGTATTCCTAGGAAACATTCTCATATAGAATTCATACATAAAATATGCAATAAAATATATAAATATATCTCGAAACTCTATGTATGTTATAAAATTTCTGTTCAATGACGTAAACATGTATATTATAAATTAATTCACAGAAATTTCACACATCAAACCCCCAAGTTTATATGGTCTTAACCAATATAAAAAATGCGCACCCTGAAAGATAAATCAATAATCACACTATTTCTCATTTCTGTCTATACATAATTAAGTTTATACAACTAGATACATTCGTACATTTGTACATAATGCAGGCAAGACGCTAATATTTATATTTATTTACTAAATCCATTTTCATCTGTACATTTAAAAATCACTACACGCACATTCCTATTTATGTAAATAAGTACCTGTAAAAATATTAATTGGTAATTCTCGAAAATATTTGTTAAAGATAATTCACATACTCAATAAGTCCATGTGAATCCTTATTTTTTTCTATTGCAATAAAATATATATAGAATTACAGATCAATCGCTAAAAAAAATTGAAATTATTCATTGATAAATATAGATAAAATACAGCCTTTAAAAAAAAATATTACTCGTAATGTAAAAAGAATGTAATAAGTCGAAGGAAGCGCGTTTGGTCCCAGTAAAGAGTATTTTTGATTAGGATTATCATCCGGGTCGATTCATCTGTGGGTGTCCTTCTTTTCGTCCATCCGTCCGCCTAGTTTTCGAAAGCTAAAAAAGCTAGAACAGCTAGAATAATCGTTCTCACAAATTCCATAATTTTACGGCTCTTATATGTTTGATGGTACAAATTTGCGACCAGTCTCCCTTATAAAGACAGCCATCTCTTTGTACCAGCTACATTATTTAATTGAGAGAAGCAATTTAAATTCTCTAAAATGATTAAAAATCTGAAATGAAAACTACTCCTATTAAGCGAGGCATTGTGTGGAGTATGACAGGATTCGTCGCACAAATGACATAACCGAATAATTAAAATGGTATATGATAGATAACTTTTCAACATATAAAATGTTTGAAACAGGAAATACGGCTTAAAGAAACATTACTATCAAATTTGTGTCAAAATCGGTTTTATGCCAACCAAAAAAAGTATATTTTAACATTTTTAAATTTGGTTTCGTTGTTAATGTTATAACTATTTAAAGATAATAAAAAAATATTGTTTCTTTCAAAATTTTATGTTATGAATTTTGTTTACGAATTATTACAATTCGTTTGAGAATTTATATCTAACGGACCAATCATTTGCGAACTTTAATCATTCTATTTTAGTCATTTCGTTGAGGCTTTAAACTTCTTTAAGGACTCCTGTGCTTTTTCGGAAAGTTTTCCTATGACAGAGATTTTATTCCATTTTATCTTTTCAATCCGACAATACTTGATGAACTGTTGGGTTAATTTCTTCTGTGAATACAATGCCTCCAAAGTTGATGCAGTTTTCGACACAGTGTCAGTTACTGAAGTCCCTGGGTAGAAAATAGGAATACAACATTCTCCCAGATGAAGTACCGTTTGAACGAGGGACAAATGACCTCTAGAACAACAAGTGCGGGTACAACAGCCGGAGGAAACCGGGTGCCAAAGCAGAAAGTTGCTACCATGGCTCCGCGGTTGCAGCTTCCAAATCTGGAAGTACTGAAACTACCGCTGGACTTGTTCTACCAGGCCACAACAGGCCTCCTCTAGTGCTGGATCTCTTGGAGAAAATCGCAGCGCTGGAGAAAAAGCTAAGTGATATCAGAGCCCGGAGCACAAGCAGTCCCAGCGATTCCGTAACAGCGAGCGGACTCGGCGTGGGTAACTTTACGTCAGCGCTGATCCCAACTAACGGGGTCGGTGTGAGTAGTGCGGCTCAAATGGCGCCGCCATCTTGGAGCGGGGTCGGTGTGAGTAGTGCGGCACAAATGGCACCGCCATTTTGGAGAGTACCGGTACTGCTGGAAAGTAGCAGTCATTGTACGTCATTTTGTGCAACAAGCACAGCGCAGACAGCGCATGGAATTAAGCCTCAAGGCTGAATGACGCCGAAGCCCATAGGTGAACCCTACGCCTGGCCGACACCTAATGGGATATATACGCCACGCAAGCTGCCAGTTTACTGAGAACAACCAACGCTTGCTGAAGGCGTTGAAGGATGAAGACCGTGAGTCCAAGTCGCTTTTGATCCACCCAAATAACGTCAGCGTCGTGGTGGAGCAGCTGCACTTTAATTCTGGCCGACCGGAGCAACATATACGCAGCCAGCTAAATGGTTTACGAGAGATGGCGCCCATTTCGGAGCACAACCCGTGTGAGTAACCTCACAGCCTTCTTGCAGTCAGCTAAGGCAGATCAGCATTTGGGGAATCCAACCCTAATGGAAGACCTTAGGGCCAAACTCCCTACCAGTACGTGGTTGACGGAGTACGCGAATGTGGTGTGCATGCCTACGAAGTGGTCACATGACTATATCCTGCAACTCGCATGGTGAGTATCAATTCAAGGGATGCCGAAAGGGGCATCACCATCTGCTACATGCTGAAGGCGACGCCAGAAGATCGTATCCGCAACGAGGCCTCCATGGAAGCCATAACGAGGAAAACCAGCAGTCAGCAGTTTCCAGAAGTAGTCCGAACAGAGCGGTCGTCCGTTACGATGATCGACGACGAGCTGAGAAGAGACCTTGACGTACAAGGTGAGCGTCGACAACTTAATATTCAGGGGTTTGGAGGGAGAGCCACCAGAGAGCCTACTAATGTAGTTAGTCTGCAAATCAGTGAAATGTGTATTCCGTTTCAAACCTAAGCTTGCCGATGCAGACTTTAAATAGACGACATGTTCAAGGCGTGTATAAGGATGCTTGACTATTGATACGACCCTACACCAACGTGGTGCCAAAGCTACTCATCGGACTTGATCATGGACACTTGGGATTTCCACTTAGAACGAGACGGTTTGCCAAACAGGGACCGTTTGCGGCCGCAACCGAGCTGGGCTGGGTTGTCTTTGGGCCGGTAAGTGGACAATCGATTGTGCCATCACCAAGGTCTTGCTTCCTAGCAGGCAGCGACGACGCGAGAGCTCAAAGAATACTAGAAGATACCACGCTTAGGCCAACGTTACAGGATTATTGTGGAAAAATGACCACGGTGTGCTGCCACAAAGCTATGATATGCCGTACAAGCCTAACGCCAAACAGAAGATGAAGCGCAACGCGCAGTTTACGCAGAAATACACAAGGATCATCCACGATTACGTATCTTCAGGATCGCTCGACGGTGAAGGTCTGACGAAGTCGCATTGGAATGCGATCGTTTATGGTATCTGCCACACTTTGGAGTCAAAAACAATAATAAGCCGGGTAAGATTCGACTGGTTTTTAACGCTGATCCTAAGGTTGGAGGAACATCACTAAATTCGGAGCTGGACAAAGGTCTGCAACATTACAAGCCCCTACCAGCTGTGCTCTTTCATTTTAGAGAAGGGTCCATCGGAGTTTGTGGCGACATTAAAGAAATGTTCCATCAAGTTCTTATTTGACCAGTGGACAGATGTTCCCAACGCTTCCTGTGGAGAGATGGCAACGACACCAGGAAACATGATGTCTACGAGTTGAACGTAATGACCTTTGGAACAGTCTGTTCGCGGAGCCCTGCGCATTATGTCGACGACTACGTGGACAGATTTGCTATGGAGAGCGAGGCTATCAGCGTATCTACCCGAGTGAAGGATATACATTCAAACGCTGGAATCGAGTTATGCCAATTTTCATCCAGCTCACCGGTTGTGGAATCTGCATTGGGCCCAAAAGCGCAAAAAACCCGAAGGCACACGAAGTGTCCAGGGCCTGCCGCTACTAGCCCGGGGGCCTCCCACAAAAGAATTTTTGTGTCCATTTTCGTTAAATGAAATGGCCAGTCTATATGTTGTATGGTTAGTGGTTTGATCCCCTGAGATTCTTTTAATGCCTCATGATAAAGGCGAAGTTATTGTTACGAGAGATTTGGAGGCAGAAAGTCTAGTGGGATGAACCACTTCCAGTTAAAATAAACAGAGCCTTTGGGAACTGGCGTAAGGAGATGGACGGCGTAAATCAGTTGCGATGTCCCCGCCAGAATTTTGGGAGTGGACCTGCACTAACTACAGTGTTGTACGTTTTCGCGGTGGCCTACTGGAGGTTCACCTACGAGGATAACAAAGTGCTAGTAAGTTTCGTTTGTGCCAAGCCGAATCCCGATGAGAACTATGTCAATCCCACGGTTGGAGCTGCATGCAGCAGTTCTTGGGTCGCGGCTGATGAACACTGTCAAGGAGACACACAGTGTGAGCAACAGTGATATTTTATTATGGACGGACTTCAAGACGGTGCTAAGATGGATCGATGGAGATGTGTGCCAACAGCCGACAATGCGGCGGATGGTGAAACGCGTTCGCAATGCCACGTGGACCTCAGTCAAAAGTCACGTTGCGCAGTGAATTCGCGTCCGCTCACCCACAAGCCGGTGGACGTGGACCAGGAGACTCCGTTGACGCCTAATGACCTGGCAAACTTGCCATGCACGCCAGGTGAGGATGTGGACCTGCCCAAGGAGTGCGCTACACGCAAGCAATGGAGGATTGCCCGACCACTGAGGGATCGCTTCTGGAGGAGGTGGGTTTTGGAGTACATGCCTACGCTTGTGCGCCGCGAGAAGTGGTGCCGGGGATCTGAGACAATTTGCCAGGATGACTTGTTATTCGTCTGCGATCCGGCCATGCCCAGGAGAGAATGGCGAAAAGGAATCGTGGAGGAGGTCTGCAGTGGAGTGGATGACAACGGCCTATCCAGGATCATGATGCGTCCCGTCTCCAACCTTGCAGTTTTGGATTTGAGTGAAGAAGTCCTTCACGGGGTCGGTGATGTCGGGGGACGACAGTTGATCCTGATGTTTTTGGTACCTCTAGTATTTTATTTGAATTGTATAGATTTTGAGCCCAAGAACGAACGGGCATATTTTGGCCGCCATGGCTTGCCGCCATAGATTTAAGCTTCCGCATCGTAGCGTGGTTAGTGCAGGAGTACACACTGCGGTAAGCTTAGATTAGTAAAATTGTATTAGGTTATATTTGCTGATGTCAATTTTATAGAATAAATCGGCTCGCGGCTCGGTTCGACGGTTCAGTTTTGAACGGTTCAGCTTGGCTCTGCACAATCGACTGTGAATGCAACCGTTGAAGGCAACGCCGGGACCACCGACAGGATCAGATAAGCTTAGTTGATGGCAAAAAAGACATTTTAATTACTCGTATTTTGATTGTGGGTGCTCCTTACAACCACAATCAAGCTTGCTCTTAAGTTTAAGGCAGAGCCTGTATTTTCTAGTCTTCAGATGGGTAACTAGATCGCACAAACAGCGAGTCTAACTGTACGACGAGGTCTTGAAGATTGGCTAATAGCTGGTGTCCCCGTTGGGATAGCTGGTTAAAATTCTGCAGATGTCTACTTCGAGTAAAGGCGTTGTAAGGTATTTGTTGTAGTTAACGATAGTAGATGACTTGAATTCCCGTCACAAATCTGTTAATGCGGGTCATTTCCGATTCCACAAGCTTGGATATAATCGCCTGCTCAAGAGTGGAATGTGTGTTTGTTTGCCGTGGTGGGTGGAGATCGTGGACCTTATCCGGGTATCTGGGATCAGCGTATGCAATTACTAAAATCTAAAATCTGTTACATATTTCTAAAGAGTTATATAAAAATTCCTAGGAGCATAAAAAATATAAGTTTTTTGCAACTGTTAAGACTTTGTTCCGCTATTGTTCTTATCTCCAAGAAGATTTTTTTTCTTTTCAAATCGATATGTTCCATAGTACTCCAAATGTACTTGACTTATTTCATTACAAAATTATTTGTAATTTATATTTTAAGTAATTGATAGAATTTAAATTCAGTTGCTTAGATAGTTAGGTCCTGTAAGCGACCACATCAGCTCTGACATAATTTAAAATATCCTTATGGCTGGTTGTCAATTTTGTTTTTCGAGCAGAATCCGACGACCAACTTTTTTCCTAACTGAGGGGTGCGGGACATGGTTACAAATGTAAAAGTTCGAATGAGTTAAAAACCATCCAATTTTAATGTACTTCCTCCAACTTTAACATTTGTTACCATCGCTGAAAACTTCATCGATATTGCAGATTGACGTTCTGAAGGTTGAAGATGGCACGCAATAAAGCACATGTGAAGCTGAGGAACCTTTACACTTTCCCGATGCGAATGCTGTGAACTTGGTATTTGCTAAAATACCCAATTACTCTTTAAGCCTATTACTCAGATCGACAAACGGGTATGCTAGCGTAAAAACTTTAATCTTTTCAGTGTGACCAAATTCTCGAGAGTTCATCAGAATTAAATGTGCTACGGTCGTACTGTCAATCAGCTGGGTTTGTTGACAAGCAGTTGAAATTCAAATATCGTATTTGCGGGAAGAGCCTTTAAAAGATATTATCAAATACCTTGGCAAGATAAGTCTGCCGGTGTACAAAGAAATTAAAAAACAATACAATTTAATTTTAACATTTGTTTTTTTTAATTTACTGATAATTATTTGCTAATTCAAAGTTCACAACTGCACTTTTATTGTGTATTTTCGTACATTTTTGATCTAAGAAACATTTTGCTCTGACAAGAGGCACCCCAGATGGTATTAATGTTATTTTGTCCTCACATGTAAACTCCTGCAATCGACTTTTGCGAGTTTTTCCCACAATTTCATATAATGTTCAGTGAGAAGCGCACGCCAAAAGATTTAATTTTTTAATCTTTTCGCTAGGGTTCACCCAAAGTTCATTTCCGCAGACTGGCAACGCTATGCAATTTTCTGGTATTTTTTTCGTCGATCTGAGGACCGAGGTGAAAAGAAACGTTGACGAAAAGTGAACGCCAGCTGTTTGCCTCTCGCTCTTTCTCATGACTGGCGGACAGTTTTTGTCGATCTGAGTACTAGGCTTTAGGTTGTTTGGTTTTCTGTTTGTCATGAAACCCAGCTGATTGACTGTAAGACCGTAGTACGCTCACTTCGGATGAACTCTTAAAAATTTGGTCACACAGGAAAGATTAAAGTTTTTCCGCCAGCGAACTCGTCGTACTGTCAATCAGCTGGGCTTGTTATTTGCGCGAAAGAGCCTTAAACAGATATACTCAACTACTTTGGCAAGACATGTCTGCCGCTATACAAAGAAATTATAAAACATTATCATTAAAATTTAAGAGTAGTTTTTTTTTCCCGCAAATACGATATTTGAATTTTAACTGCTTGTCAACAAACTCAGCTGATTGACAGTACAACCGTAGCACGCTTAAATCTGATGAACTCTCAAAATTTCGGTCACACTGGAAAGATTAAAGTTTTTACGCTAGCGTAATCGTTTGTCGATCTGGATACTAGGCTTTAAAACTTTAATCTTTCCAGTGTGACCAAAATTTCGAGAGTTCATCCGAACTGAGCGTACAACGTTCTTACTGTCAATCGTATTTCCGGGAAAGAGCCTTTAAAAGATATTATAAACCACGTTGGCAAGAAAAGTCTGCCGCTGTACACAGAAATGAAAAAAAAATACAATTTAAATTTAACAGTAATTTTTTTTAATTTACTGATAATTATTTGCTAATTTAAAGTTCACAACTGCACTTTTATTGTGTTTTTTCGTACATTTTTGATCTAAGAAACACTTTGCTCTGACAAGAGGCACCCCAGATAGTATTAATGTTATTTTGTCCTCACATGTAAACTCCTGCAATCGACTTTTGCGGGTTTTTTTTTATTTTTTCCCTCCATTTTTTTAAAAGTTCAGTGAGAAGCGCCCGTTAAAAGATTAAGCCTAGTATCCAGATCGACGAAAACCGTACGCCAGTCATGAGCGAGAGCGAGAGGCAAACAGCTGGCGTTCACTTTTCGTCGGGCCTTTTTTTCACGTCGGTCCCCTGATCGACGAAAAAAATACCAGAAAATTTCATAGCGTTGCCAGTCTGCGGAAATGAACTTTGGGTGAACCCTAGCGAAAAGATTAAAAAATTTAATCTTTTGGCGTGCGCTTCTCACTGAACATTATAAGAAATGGAGGGAAAAACTCAAAAAACTCACAAAAGGCGATTGCAGGAGTTTACATGTGAGGACAAAATAACATTAATACTATCTGGGGTGCCTCTTGTCAGAGCAAAATGTTTTTTAGGTCCAGAATGTATGAAAAAACACAATAAAAGTGCAGCTATGAGCTTTAAATTAGCAAATAATTATCAGTAAACTAAAAAAACAACTGTTAAATTTAAATTGTATCGTTTTTTAATTTCTTTGTACAGCGGCAGACTTGTCTTGCCATGGTTTTTGATAATATCTTTTAAAGGCTCTTTCACGCAAATACGATATTTGAAGTTTAAATGCTTGTCAACAAGCCCAGCTGATTGACAGTACGACCGTAGCACGCTTAAATCTGATGAACTCTCGAAACTTTGGTCACACTGGAAATATTAAAGTTTTTACGCTAGCGTAATCGTTTGTCGATCTGGATACTAGGCTTTACATTTTTTAACCTTTTCGCTAGGGTTCACCAAAAGTACTTTTCAGGTGGTTGGCAACGCGAAGTAATTTTCTGGTATTTTTTCGTCGATCTGAGTACCGAGGTGAAGCCCATTTGGGCTAAATAAAAGTATTAATTTATGTCAGTTACTATTGCCGAGGTTATTCTAGCTATTAATATATTTTTGCAAGCTTTCTGTTTTTTCACTGGCTTTCTTAGTTTAATTGCCCATCGAAACAAATAACCGCTGTTTTCCTACAGCCAAACGCATATATTCGAATTTGCTAGGTAGAGGACGGCAGTTTTTTGTAACTCCTATAACGATAGGAAACTCGCGTCAGTGTAAGTAGACTTTACTAGTGCATTGTCTGTGGGAATAGGATATTATATCAAGTTATAAAAGACATTGAAATCATTTTCAGGGATCACCCTAATATTAAGAAAACTGAAAACGGCCACACTAGATTTGAATACTTTATTGGTATTGGTATTTTACTATTATATCTCGGTGGTACGTGTAAGTATAACATTTTACGAAATAAAACAAGAAGTTTTGTGTTTTATTTTTGTTGAATGGGATTTCCAAATAGTATGAAAAATTGCTTAAATAGATTAAACCGAATATATGTATTAACTTATTAAAAAACTCCTGTATTTTGGTTATGCTTTCGTACGTTTACTCATACACGCGTTAGAAAGCTAGAACAAGACTACTTCCATATGTGCATGTGTATATATATGGTCTGCACGAATAACATTTATCAATTTTCTGTTTCTCTTGTGTCCGTTAAAAAGACATATTATATCCAATTGAAAGTTATGGCGATTTAATATATGGAAGGATAAAACCAGATTTTAGTGTTAGGTATGTTCACACAACAATGTATATATTAAAAATTAAATATAAGTGTGCATGTCTAAATGGCGTTTGTATGTGATATTTAAGTTAGATTTTAAGGTTATGTAGTTTTGCTGTATTACTTTTGTATTCCTTTATTTAACTGCCTATTTGGTAACAACTTAAAAGGTCGTCTTTGTTATTAATAAGTACTGTCCTTTTATGGAAATTTTCAATTGGTCCTAATGCTGTAGACGTTAGTTCTTGAGTTGCATTTTGTTAAGCTAAAGATATTTTCAAAAGCAGTCGTACAATTTTACGGATCGTTTTGGTAATTTTAATTGAATTATAAACTAGAAAAGTTGGGTTGACTGTCCTTGATATGATATGCAAGTCGAGCAGCTAAAATATACAATTTTATCTTTGATCTTAGCGTCAGCATAATTATATTGAACAAGAGGCTACTGAAAATGACAGATTCGATGAAATTTGGTCCGGAATGGTTGCGCAATATGTCAGCAGAGCCCTCAGGCTCCCCCAGTACTTACAACATCGGTGCCGGAGGACCAAACAGCTCAATTGCAGCGAACAACCTTGGCAACACCACGACAGCATCTGCCTCGCGTAATCTATTTCCAGAATACCGGTACGGACGTGAGGAAATGTTGTCGTTGTTTGATCGGAACTGTTTGCTGCCGCAGATTTTACCTTCGTTTAAGAAACTTTTCGTGGAAAAAGTTCAATATCCACTTGCCCTGACACCAGGCTCTGAGGAGGACAATAACCAAAATCCTGTTGGGAATAGCGTAAGTTAACTGGATGTGACATATTTTCGGGAATTTCAGTTTCTCTACTTTGCAACAGTCGCGTCCGGCCTGGCTGCAGCGCTCATCCGGTGGATTTAGTACTGCATCTCGGGGAACTGGACGTGGTGGGACAGTTGACAGGGGCCGAATGCGCGGAAAATCTGTCTATCATCCTATATATCAACGTCCAAGTGGGCTTTACGATGAGGGTTTATCCGTAATATCTATCAAGGTAAGGCAAAAGATTTAAGGGAAAATTTGATGTCTTGCTAGCTAATAATTTTCTTTACCCAGGCCGAACGTACTTGGAATGAACGGAACGGAACTGGAGATTCAGCAATTGCCAACACTTCTGGTAACTTAGGTGGCTTAGATTGGAACGGCACGCCAAGCTCAAGCCCTCGTAAAGACTTTTCCAGTCATCATCGCAATATGGAGAATTGGCGGCGATCTCGAAACGAAGACGGATCCGGAGATGGTCCAGTTGCCAGCGGTCCAGACATTGCTGGTTGGCGAAGCGGTGGCGGCGCAGGAAATGCCAATACTAGTTTTGGTACAAACAGTCATCGTTGGGGTCAGTTATTACACCATTTTATTATTATTTTAATATTCAACAACACAATGCAATTCAAGAGATTCGTACGACCATAGACCAATTTTACACAGGTCGGTTAAACAGCAGAGCAAGATCAGAAATTATGCCACTTGTCCTTGGTGGTTGTTATAGTCTATTGACAGCAATGGCCACAATGTCCTAATTATGTTAAAAAATTCTAACGAATCCACTTCCAAATCAGGTCTGAAAGGCTTCCTATAGTCGATAGCGGACTCTTACGCAATTTTGAATGAGAATATCGTTTTAACTCTACGAGTAACAGGAATAAAAAATTAAAAGTTAAAGTTAAATTCTTACGCCGTGCTCATTTTGATGATCCAAGCTTTAAAATGTATAGTTAGAAATTGTATTTAAATCGCATAGCTTAAAATAACCTTTTTTTCTAAAAGATTTTGACTATTCCAAGAATTAATGCTGAAGTTTATTTAATATTGCTGTTGTTAAACTTGTTCTTAATTGAGGAAACTGTTCAACAAAAATTAAGCATATAAATACGTGTTGAAGTTTTTGATGCATATATTTTAAAAAATGTTTCTCTAACTTAACTTTTCTGATACTTGAATTTAAACGTTCCCAAATGGGAGTAAATTGTTTATGGGAGTAAATTATTTTTTTGCATTCCTATCATTGTTCTCGGGAAAAATTCAATTTTAGATGCACATTAGGATAATGACTGTAACATCATCTTGACAACTTTTTAGTTCCGTTAATTTTTGTTGTTGGTTTAATAGTTTAAATAAGTATTTTGTTTAAAATATTCTTGAACAAATACTACTTGATATAGTCTTAAACAGCAACCGGGTACCTTTAATTAAATATTCATGCTCAAATCTGCTGTGAAGCTTCAAAAGAAAAAAAAACTTCACACCTAGAACACTATTCTGAAAAGTTTCCATTTTCAAAGTCGGTGTACACGATCCAGCAAAATCTACAGTTTTGAAATTTTGCATAGTACTTCTTTTTTTTTTGTTTTTATCACATGAAAAAACAAAATTTTCACTGAGAATTTTCGTATCGCCAATAAAAATTCGTCAAAAATTACAGATTTTGCAGCGAATTAACCATATCTCCCCCAAGGGATTAATACTCTTTAAAATTACAGTTTTTAATAAATATATGGATTTTAGAAAAAATTATGTAATACAAAGGCAGAAGTAGAGTAAAAAATCAATTATTATAACACAAAAAAAAGGATCATTATGTTCAGAATGTTCTAATATAATCCAAAATTTTTAACATTAGCCCCTATAAAAATTAGATGCATAATCAAAAATTACAAAAAAAATTTATTAAAATCTAAATAAATAAATAAGTGAGCCTTATAAAATTAAATAAATGAATCAAACAAATATTTATAATGTTTGGTTTAGATCTGTCTTAATAAATTCGTTTATTATACCCTTGCAGAGGGTATTATAATTTCAGTCAAAAGTTGGCAACGCAGTGAAAGAGATATTTCCGAACCCATGAAGTTTATATATTCTTTAGCATGTAATATTAAAATTAAAGTTTTCCTTCTTAAAGTTTGGTTTAGATCTGTCTTAATAATTATTATAATATCAGTCAAAAGTTGGCAACGCAGTGAAGGAGACATTTCCGAACCTATAAAGTTTATATATTCTTGATCAGCATCACTAGAAGAGTCGATCTAGCCATGTCCGTCTATCCGTCTATCTACACAAACTAGTCCCTCAGTTTTAAAGCTATCTGCTTGTATACATGTCGGAACTAGCCGGATCGGGCGACTATATCATATAGTTCCCATAGAACCAAGTTTGCGTAGAAACGGACAGGCGGACATGGTTAGATCGATTCTCCTGATCAAGAATATATATACTGTATAGCGTCGGAAATGTTTCCTTCACTGCGTTGCAAACTTTTGACTGAAATTTGAATACCCTCTGCAAGGGTATACAAATAGATATCTTTCTTAAAAATAAAATTTAATCCTTAATCCTTTCGTATTATTAAAACAAACAAAATTCTTTAAAACTGACATTAAATACTAATTCGAATCATTAAACGAATTTTTAAATTTTTATTTTTAGGAAGGTCTACAAGTTGGCGCGATGAAGACGCTAACGTCGACAGTCCAACCAGTTTGCAACGGTCAATTTCAACGGTTGGGACTGTGAGCACAGATCGCGAGCGGCCTGGAAGTAGTAAAGGGTGCGGAATGGGAGCTGGAGAGGTAGGAGGAGGCACATCTAACCCTTCTGTACGTTTGTCAGGCTCGAAGGCCTCACAATTGTGGGCCGGCAATAATGATGCAGTCGGTGCTAATGCCGAGGACAATCTTCCAGAATGGGCTATGGAAAATCCATCTGAATTGGGTGGCAGCTTTGATGCAAATGGGGCCTTTCATGGTGATATCGATCTACAAAATAACAAATGTTCGCATAATTCTTTAAAGACCAAAAGTTTAAACTCTGAACACGATGTTTCAAAATCTAAAAGTAAGGACAGTACTGCAACAGATAGTGCAAACGATAAACCATCTGAAATCCTATTAATGAAAGATCAGAACATATCAGCAGCACAGGAAGTCAACAGCAGCCGTTTATCTCCAATAAACTCAACAACGACAAAAATGGAAGAGGTCCACGGTGATATTTCAGATCGAATCAAAGAAGTCGCCGATGAAGTGGAAAAACTAATAATGGAAGATGATAATCAAAGCTCAACAAATCAAAATCAACATCAAAATGATAGCGGACGGTTTGCAGGGCCTCTGCCAAGTCTAGCTGATATTGAGTTAAGTATGAAACCTGATTCTGTAAGTGGTACTACAGTACGCCAGCAAGCCCCTCCTACCATGCCTATACAAATGACGAGCACACTTTCAGAAACGGCTCATCCAACAGCGCACCCAGCTGTACCGTTTTCAGACCATGTGACTATGCAGCACCATAATCTGCACCACCAACCACATTTTTCAATGCTTCCCACACCGCATATGGTCAATCCAAATCTCAATGAATTGTGGTTTTACCGGGATCCTCAGGCAAATGTGCAGGGGCCATTCAGTGCCATGGAGATGACAGAATGGTATCGTGCTGGATACTTTAATGAAAACCTATTTGTACGACGATTCTCCGATAATAGGTTTAGACCGCTGGGCGAGCTTATAAAATTTTGTCATGGGAACATGCCATTTACTAACAGCCACTTACTTCCTTCACCAATTGATCTAGAGAATCTTCCTATTAGTCAGATACCACCCACTCTTCCAGCGCCTCTACCGCTTACACCCCGTAAGCCAAACCCAATTACTCTTTCTCTGTCTGTTGTTGAACAGCAGTTGCAACAACAAAGAGACGAGCAACTTAAGGCAAATGTGACTGCAGCTGCGGAATCTCTTAGCGCCGCAATTAAAGGAAATCTTGGAGGAAATAGCATAGGCACTACATCGCATATGCTTACAATGCGATTTCAGATGCTGCAGGACCAGTATTTGCAGCACCAGGAATACCAAATACTGGCAGAGCTATCCAAAAATGAGATCTTTCAACGACTTTCAACAGTGGAGAAAGAGGCGGTTGTTCGGCGGAAAGTTCAAATGCTTGTTCTTCCTGAGTATTTGAGCAACTTAAACGCACTAAGCAACTCGCTCTCCATATTGAACCCAATTGCCGGAAGTCAGTTATATAGTGCAGTGGCTGAACATGCCAAGAAGGATCAACATATGTTTGCGAACAGTAACGAACAGCAACTTTCAGTGGGTAACCTATTAGAAGCCAATAATTTCATACTAAATGCCCAAATTATGCATCAGCAAGCACAACCAGTGGTAGCTTCCTTGCCAACATCGGCTGACTGTGTTATGCAAAGTGGATCTGCAGCCGATCTTAATAAAATAGATGAGCTGCCCAGAAATGACTTGGACTTACTGAATGAATACAACTTACGAATGCTCTTGCGAGGCCAGCCAACAGTTGGCCAACAGCAACAACCTTCACTTCCAACTTCTGGCAACGAAAATCTTTCTGGAGGAGATTTTATAACTGAAACTCAGTTGTTAGCGGGACACAACTTAATGATTCCGATGTGGTTACCACCTAACAAGCCACAACAGCTTGACCAACAATGGCCTGGAATACCCAATACAAAAGCAACGTTGTGGGAAGTGGGGAATTTAAATGAAGAGCAAAGTGAAGAACAGCAACTATTAATTCAAAAATCCCCACAAACCTGTTTCTCAGATCCAGTGCATTCTGTGCAAACACCACTAAACCAAGTTCAATCAGAAGATCATTTTAAACATAGCTCCGCGGATTTAGGTCAGTGCCAGACTACTGACAATCTAAAGGATTCGAATAATCATAAGTTAGTTTCATCGTTTGTTTCCGATATTGAAGAGTATCAAAACAAGGAACAAAGTTCTCATCAGCAACAAACAAAGCAGACTATTAAACAGCATTCGACTGTAAGGCAGAATGTGCTGCAGTCTTCCGCAATAAAGCAAATAAATGAAGATGATCGCAAACGGGAGCAGACGGAAGAAAAACGTCGGCAAAAGGAGGAGCGCAAGCGTCAGCAACTGGAAGAAGAAAAACGGCGTGCTATGCAGGAGTCCGAGGAAAGGGCCCGTCAAATGCAGGAGGAAAAAGAAAGACAACAGCAAATACAAGCCCAACGTCGAAAGGCATTATTAGGCAATGCTCAAACTGCAGTTCAAAGTGGCATCACAGGTTGGTTTTCATATTTAACTTTACGTGCAATATGTGAATTATCCGTAGGTCCCATCATGAAAATTAAAATGCAGTTTTGTTCTGTTCTTATTATAACCTTCCAGACGGTTTATTGAAAAACATACTCGAATATATTCCAAGATTCTTTCATTTTTTGAATTTTAGAAAAAGTTTTAGTAGACTTACTCCCTCAAGAAATATTCGTGTCTTCTATAAATGCTCTGTTCACTTTCGAAAGAAACCTTACAGAAAAATTACTAAAACTTTCGAAACAAACCTAACAGGAATATTACCCAAACTTTTTTGCAAGCATCGTAATTACGAACTCAGATCCGCCCACTCAAAAAAAAAAAATTTGTTGACAAAATCTGTATGTCAATTATATTTTTATAACATTTCCTGTTTTCGGAGCCTTGCACAGTGGTTATTATTTGGGAAAGCGCCCAAAAATACTTATAATGAAGATCGAATTTCAATTTTCAGTATGTGCTTGAGGTGTAGTTTTGAAAAGTTATTAACTTCCTTTTCTATAAAAAAGGTGTATTTTTTTTAATGGACCCGATTTCAGTTGGAAGACTGACTTTGTGAAACTGCTTTCTGACTACAGCCTTTTTTCCATTGTGGGATTCGTAGTTTTGCAGTCCACAGTGGTGGCTCCCAACTTTTTGCTCCTTTCGTCGTTTCGAAAAGCCATGATTATCCCAGTGCCGTTAAGTACGCTCATACTAAAGTATTAATGAGCTTTTTAATGTTCTCCAAATTTATTTTATAACTTAAAATTTAACCAAATGTTTTTTTTAGGTAATTCCGCTTCTAAGAATGACGTCGTTAAAACGTCTGAACCGCAAGTGGCTTCGCGTTTACCTGCTGCATCCGTAGCGCCATGGTCACTTCAGTCACCAAATTCTAGTAGCACCGCGCCTGGACTGGCAGAGATACAAAAGGCAGAACGTCGGGAGCGCCGCGCAGACCAGCAGCGACATCAAGAGTTGCTAGATAAACAATTGCGTGCCAATGCTGCCGCTGCGGCTGAAGCTAACGATGCTTTGCTAAAATGGCAGTCGGCTCCAGCGTCGGCTCCCGTAATGAGCCTTGCCGAGATTCAGGCTGAAGAGACCAAGCGTCTGACCAATGACCTTTTAGATCAGCAGCGTCGTCGCGAACTGGAGCAACACCAGCATGCTGCACTACAATCAGCATCTGTTGCGGCGAGTGGAACCTCCAACATCTGGGGTAGCGGAAGTAAGGCATGGAGCGGTTCGAGCGCTGCTCCGTTACTATCTATGAGATCAAGCACTGGAACTGGTCTGTGGGACGAACCAAATGCATCAGGTACTAATCAGTCTATGTTTGGTTCTGTTACAAGCAGTAGCATTACTGCCAATTCCGCTGCAGGTGGACTAAATTCGACCAATAAAACAAACATAAATGCTCAGAATAAGTCGTCGAATTCATTTGCTTCGCCTCGAAATTTACGCAAAAGTCAGACTTTGCCGGCCATACATAACACAGGAAAAACCATTAAAACTGCGCCAGGACAACAACAACAGCAAGAGAAACTGAAAATCGGTCAGATCCGTCCGGGTTCAAAAAGTACAGCTACTTCAGTTGAGGACAAAGATAAGGAGAGAAAGTCCAATTATAAAAGCCAGGTGCATCAAGGCCCCTCCGAACAGTCCAATAATAAGGTAACCGAGTACGAAAACGAGTTCACTAGCTGGTGTATTAGGAGCCTAGATAATATGTCCGCCAAAGTTGATGGTAAATATTCGTAATCTTGACCTTGACCTTTTCGCAAACTATTTACGTTTTTATATATTTTTAGTACCAACGTTCGTAGCTTTCTTACAAGATTTGGAGGCACCATATGAAGTGAAGGACTATGTGCGAATATACCTTGGTATGTAGTTCTTTATAATTTATTTATCATCAATAAAGGAAAATATTTATTTATCTTTTTTTTGTATTTTAAAGAGGAAGAGGGAATGTCTTCTTTTGGGTTTTTGTAAGATTTTGTTATAAAAAAAAAACTATATCTGTTGCAAAGTTGTAAACAATAAGAATTTCTTGAAATTTCGGACACTTTGGACAAGTGAAATACCAATGTGAGAAATCTTTCCAAAATGTTTATTTTTGCCATCGCGTTTTTAATATAACCTGTGTTAATAAAGTTTAACTTTTTGTACATCCCAACATAGTTGTGAGGTGACAAACGACTCAATTTCTAAAATTGATAAGCCTGACGCAAAGATAAAATCTCTGGAGCTCTATCTTCAGAACTTTAAATGAAAATGTCTTGACAAAAACCGTAATATCAACATAGGCTTCTTCCAAATAAGAGGAACAGACTCAATGCAATGGAACGGTAGTTTGTTAGTCAGCTGACATTCCTTCTGCTGCTGTAAGCGGTTATTTTATTCAAGTTAGGAATTAAAATAGAAGGAATAATAATTAATATCTACAGTGCCGCACAAATACATTTTTCAGAAACCATTATGTTAGTCCTAGCATTGTAAATGTACCTTAAACAAGAAAGAAACCAAAGTTTATATACCCTTGCAGTTATTACAAATCGACTACATTTCGATTTCTATGCCTATATTACTAAAAACAATGAAGCTATGTCGATTTTGCGCTGCATTTTGCCATAGATTCTATGGTAGCTATATGATATTATTGTCCGATTTTAATGTAATTATGTTCCTATGGGAGCCATATGATAAAGTCGCCCTATCCGGCTCGTTCCGACTTATATACTACCTGCAATAGAAAGACAACTTTTGGGAAAGTTTCAAGCAGATAGCTTAAAAAATGAGGGACTAGTTTGCGTAGAATCGGACGGACGGACGGACAGACTGACAAACGGACATGGCTAGATCGACTCTTCTAGTGATGCTGATCAAGAGGGTCGGAAATGTCTTTATTACTGCGATGCCACATTTTCACTGAAATTATAATAGCCTCTGCAAGGGTATAAACAACTTGAACAAAGCTCGAGAGGAAGTGCATTAGTGCATTTCATACTAAAAGTTAAAGTTTAGAAGTTAAATTTAAATGTTAATAAACATAATCATTGCCGTATTAAATATTACATTTAAGTTTTACAATTAAATTTAAGATTAAGGCTAGCACAAAATAACATAAAATGACATGAAAAATGTTTAAAATTCCCTTTTTTAGTTTTGAATTTTATTTCAATAAAAGTTTTACAATAAATTGCCATAATCTATGTTACTACAGTACTGAACAAATCTGCTTTTAAATTTTGTTGATATCCATAATATTTCAATAAAGCTGGGAGTTGGATAATTGAACGCTGCTTAATAGAACAAAGCTATGTTTTAAATTACATGTCCACTAAAATAAAAGTGGATCATATAAAACTTGTAAACAAAAACGTTGACTTAAATTTTAAAAGTTAATTATATATAAATAAAACAGTTTTAATATGAATTCATGTTCCTTTTAAATTTAAGTATTTTTAGTTTTTATACCCTAGCAGAGGTTATTATAATTTTGGTCAAAAGTGTGCAACGCAGTAAAGGAGACATCTCCGACCCTATAAAGTATATATATTCTTGATCAGGATCACCTCCTGAGTTGATATAGTCATGTCCGTCTGTCTGTTTCTACGCAAACTAGTCTCTCAGTTTTAAAGATATCGAATTGAAACTTTGCACACAACCTTCTTTCCCTTGCACGCAGTATATATGTCGGAACGGCCGGAATCGGCCGACTATATCCTATAGCTGCCATATAACTGATTGATCGGAAATGCCATTACTTTGGTTTTGGTAAAGTTAGAAAGATGAGGATTTTCTATGGATTTTATTTTTGATCAATCAATCCGACCTACCAAATTTCATAAGGATCGTCAGACTATATCCTATAGCTGCCATATAACTGAACGATCGAAAATTCCATTACTTTTGTGTTTTTAAAGGTGGATTTTTTATGAGTATACCATATGAATAATTTTGGAGATAATTTCATAAGGATCGGCCGACTATATCCTATAGCTGCCATAGAACTGACCGATCGGAAATGCCATAACTTTGGTGTTTTTAAAATTAGGAAGTTGGAATTTTTTATGAGTATTAAGAATGCATCATATGAATAATTTTGGAGAATAAAATTTACAGAATATTCTGCAAGGGTATATCAACTTCGGCTCCGCCCGTAGTTAGCTTTCCTTTCTTGTTTTATGTATGTACCAATTTTTGTATTACATAAATGATTATATTTTCTGAAATTTAAGTTTGTTGACAATGTTTCTGCAAAAATTTGTGAAAAAATATTGAATAGTTTTTAAGGGGTGGGGTGGCTGTTTCCCTTTTTTTTTTGGAAGAGCCTTGCGGAGATAATTCCCCATGTCGAACAGGTCAACTGAAACAGTGAAAATAAAATTTTTTTTATTAGTTTAGATTAACTTCGTGTATCTGAACGATTTTTTTTTTGTGCATACGGGAACGTTTAATGCGAAAAATGAAGTTTTTGGTCGCTAGTTTTTACAAAAAAATCCATTTCGGTGAAATAAAAAATTGTGCATGAAAAATCGATCGTTCAAGTACTCATAAAATTCATCACGAACATTTAACAAAAAATTTGAAGAAAACGGTTCAGTAGTTTTTCGCCAATCCATATCACCGCAAAGTCATTTTTCAAAAACCACCATTTCGAGATGTTCGCGTTTAAAGATTCAAGTTTGGGTTTGGGCGGGGACGAGGCGCGCGGCTAGGAGCGCTATAACTTTCATTCTACTGCTTAAAATTGGGGAAATGTTCTCAAGAAGTTGTTCTTCAAAATAAAGCAATAACAAAATTTTCGATTTATTGAAAATGAAAATGGTTACAACCCCTTAAAATGAAATAAATTTTTATTTTGCTGCTTTTATGTTTATCAAAATATTTCTTTTAGATTTAGTAATTAGAATTACGCTTTTAGTTTTGTCAAAATCGGGCAGCAATATCATATAGCTGCCATAGAAAGGACATAGCTTCACTGTTTTTAGTAATATAGGCATAGAAATTGAAATGTAGTCGTTTGATATGAATGCCGATGTTTGCTTCCTTCTTTGTTAGTTTTTATAAAACGTCGACAATCTATACACTACAAAAGCTTTACCATGTCCCTATTTTGGAATATGACTCCAGAACATAAAACCCCTTATATATTAAGCAACAGTAATTAATACAGTAAGTCAAACTGCATTTATACACCCTTGTAGAGAGTATTCAAATTTCAGTCAAAAGTTTACACCGCAGTGTTCCTACCCTGTAAAGTATATATATTCATGTCCGTGTCTGGTTCCTCAGTCTGTTCCTTTCTACGCAAACTAGTCATTCATTTTTAAACTGAATGAAACTTTTCCAAAAGTATTATTTCTGTTGCAGGTAGTTTATAAGTCATGAATTACGATTTTAATTAAATTCAAATCGGACAACAATATCATATAGCTGCCATTGAAACGATGGCAAAATGCAGCCCAAAATCGACATAGCTTCATTGTTTTTAGTAATATAGGTAAGAAATAGTAATGTAGTCGATTTGTAATAACTGCAAGGGTATATAAACTTGCCGAAGTTTGCCTCCTTTCTTGTTATACCGTTGCAGAGGGTATTATAATTTCAATCAAAAGTTTGCAACGCAGTGAAGGAGACATTTCCGGCCCCATAAAGTATATATATTCCTGATCAGCATCACCAGGAGAGTTGATCTAGCTATGACCGCCCGTCCGTTTCTAGGTAAACTAGTCCCTCAGTTTTTAAGCTATTTGCTTGAAACTTTGCCAAAAGTGGTATTTCTATTGCAGGAACGAGCCGGATCGGGCGACTATATCATATAGCTCCCATAGGAACAATCGGAAAAAATTATAACTTTGTTGTTTTTAATTATTTATCTTTGGGATTTGGTATTATTTAAATATTATTGTATTACGGTTTTAATTAAATTGAAATCGGACAACAATATCATATACAGAATGTCAAGAAACACTTTACATACTGAAGATTGTTTTTATATTTTGACTTTGCATGCAAAAAAAAGCCCCTTGTGTTTCATTTTATGATTTATTTTGAAATGCTATTATATTAATTAGAGTATGCCTAGTTAGTCCGAAAACAAAATCAACACAATCCACAGAAAATGAAGAAGAAGACAAACTAAGAGAACACAATTTTAACACTGTCAAGAAACTCTTTACACAGTTAGCTTTTTCATTCTTTTTTGTTCTTTTCGAAAAAATGAACGGTACTTTACCACTATCTATGACTTGTAAGTAGCGTCATTTTTACATTCTATTTCAATTTGTTGTGAAATTAGCCAAAGCTAGCATCAAAAGGGATCTTTACGAGATTTTTATAATGTTTGGCAAAAATTGATCTTTGAGATCTCTCAGTTGATTTACTTTAATCATAAATTGGGAAAATCTGCCGCGGAGCTTGCTGAAATGTTTTCAGTTTCCAGAAAAACCGTTTATAACGTATTAAATCGAGCGGAATATGAAGGTAGGCTGGAAACAACGAATAGAGAGGGCCGTAAAATGATGATTGGAGAACGAGAAGACCGAATAATAAGGCGAAAAGTTAACCAATTTCGACGAGAACTCTTGCCAATGAGCTTCAGGAAGAGTTTGGTATAGTTGTTTCACATGAAACAATACGCCAGTTATTTTGCGACGCAAGTACTCCTCCAGGGTCGCTCGAAAGAAGCCTCTTCTGTCGCAAATGAATGTGGAAAAACGTAAAGCCTTTGCTGAAGCCATGATTAGCCAGCCGCAAGAATATTGGGACGACGTTATATATTACAACGATGGTCCAACCAAAGTGTGGCGCAAGGCACTTACAGCACTAGAGAACCGCAACATTATTCCGACAGTTAAATTCGGAAAATTGTCGGTCATGATTTGGGGATGCATCAGCAGCAAAGGGGTCGGAGAAATTGCCTTCATAGAAAATACTATGAATGCTGAGCAGTATCTTCGAATTTAAATGACCTATTTAAGGCCTAGTGCTGAAAAATTTGGCTTTATTTCCGGCAATAAGTCTAACTTGAAGTTCTATGTGTGGAATTGGATCCTTTACAACTACGGTAAGGTGATCCATACACCACCCCAGAGCCCCGACCTTAACCCTATTGAAAATTTGTGGGCCTTCCTGAAGAAAAAAGTGGCTAAAAGGTAGCCCAAAAATCGTCAAGCGCTCAAAACGGCGGAAATTGAGGAGTGGCAAAAAATATCATTGGTATATGATATGCCAAAGTTAATCAATTCAAACGGATCCAGCTTGTTGCTAATGCTAAGGGGGGTCATACAAAATACTAAAACTAAATTTAAATAGTATAAGTTTCTTAATATTTAGATTTAAATTACGATAATTAGTTTTGTGTAAAGAGTTTCTTGACAGGATTAAAAATGTGTATTCTCATGTTTAAGTTAATTATTATGTTCCTATAAATTGTTATGTTTTTGTTTTTCAACTTATTAATTAAGCAAGGCAAGAAGAATCGTTGTGCATTAAAAAAAATTATGAAATTGATTGGAAGTTGCTTAGTTTTTAATCCAAAGTCCAAAAATAAAGTTCATTTTCAGTGTGTAAAGTGTTTCTTGACATACTGTAGCTGTCATAGAAACGATGGCAAAATGCAGCGCAAAATCGACAAAGCTTCATTGTTTTTAGAAATATAAGCATAGAAATCGAAATGTGGTCGATTTGTAATAACTGCAAGGATGTATAAACTTCGGCTTGCCCAAGTTTGCTTCCTTTCTTGTTTATCATTAAACTATTTAGAGTAAAACGGGATAAAGTGTTAACCAAAGTTAATTAATTACCAAGTGTGCCAATAATTTTGTTCTGGGAAATTAATGAAGAGACTTGTATTTAACAGTAAATGATATCTTTAGATATTTTGTTTCATTTAATTAATTATGATAGTCACTTTATCTATCATACAAATTTTAAATTTAAATCCTGATAAATTGTATTTGTTAGGTCACAAACTTTATTAATTTAACGACGGCAAAACAGCTGAACTTAACATATTAGACGGACAAGAAAAGACGGACCAGACTGCACACAATCTATATAACACAATAAAGTCAAATGTTGCTATATAAATGGTATTTTCTAACTTCTTAGGTGAAGGAAAAGAGTCTTTGGATTTTGCCAAGCAGTTTTTGGATCGACGCAGTAAATACAAGAGTTTGCAGCGTGCCCAAAATGCACACAATGATGACATGTGTAAACCAGCTCCTGCCATTACACCATCGGCGAACGACTATACTGACAGCAAGGTGGGTCTTGTATGTATAATTAACATTGCGTATTAATATTGTCTTTCTTAAGAACAAGCAGAAAAAAGTTAAGAAGAATAAGATGACTAGAATGGACGCCCGCATTCTTGGGTTTTCGGTAACAGCCGCCGAGGGTCGCATAAATGTTGGCGTTCGTGATTATGTCGAAGGACCATAACCACATTGGGACAACCTCAATTTTTTTATAAAATTACAAATCTTATAAACAACAGAATTGAATTAAATGTTAGGTCACAAATGGATGTGCGCTAAACCCTGATATACCTAAATAAATAAATAAATATATTTATATATATATCTATATATCTGTATGTATATATATATATATATATATATATATATATATATATGCACATAAACAAAACTGTTGTTAATAAATCTTTGTTACCGTCCGTCGAATCGATGTCATATGTTATGTCGGTCAACTTCGTCAGGGTTGCGCCAAAACAGCGTTTGGCCAAAACAACAAACAGGGGTGAGTATAGAGAAAGAGAAATTTACAATAGTTGCGTCTCTGTCCTTTCCTCCTTTAGCAACCTTTGTCGTTGCCTTTATTATTTGGTCATTGTTGAATACAATTTGTGCACTCAAAAATGTATACATTGCTCAATCAAACAAATTAACGGCTTTTGTCTTTTTCCACTTGAACGGAAAGTAATACAAAACGGCGTCAAGTTAACTAAATTCGGCATTGAGGCGTGTACAAGCCGACTGCGTCTGTAACTTTTCACTGGACTCACTTTTGATTTTGCAGAAACATTTCCTTTTTAAACAAAAATTGTAAAGTTCATATTCGTAAAATAAAAAGTGGCAGGCCATACTCCTACAAAAACTACTGAATTATCCACATGGCAGACAGTTAAATATTTAAAACTTGTATACCCTTGCAGAGGGTATTATAATTTTGGTCAGAAGTTTGTAACGCAGTGAAGGAGACGCTTCCGAACCCATAAAGTATATCTATATATATAAAACTGTTCATTGAAAACTAAGAATCAACGCACAGCCTAAACTAATTAAATGACCCTATTAAAATTGTTTACCATTCAATTCTTATAACACTAAACTGATTTGCTAAGATTTATTTTGGCCACAAACATGCCCCCATTTTCTTTTCAGTGGCAAAAAAACCCCCAATTTCTATAAAAAATTCTGGACGCTAAACGCGTTAATCAATCGATGCGATTTTTGGCCAAAATTTAGTCCTCTACATAATAAAGATTCTATTTAATTTAATATTCGATATTTTAATGTTTACTATTTTTTATCGATCTTTGAAAATCTATGAATCTTCCTCATTTTTTCCAAACGGCAAAAAAACACTGATCTAAGTCAATTAGCAATATGAAAATTTATCGAGGGAATCCTGATACTTTAAGGATTCATATATATAAAGCTATCAGTAAGAAAACTGGGGCTCCCCAAGTGGCCCCAATCGATTCCAATTGGAAAAAAGGTCAATTTTTCTTTCAAAAATTCTGGACGCTAAACCGTTTTAGCAATCGAATCCGTTTTCGCCCAAAAATAGTTTAAGACATTATAAATGTTTAAAAAATTTGACCGCTTAGATTTAAGGCTTTTTACTATTTTTAACACCCGTTCTAAAATTACAATTTAGCCAAAAATATCTTCAAACTGAGAATCAAAAATTCCTTCGGTAAAGTTTTTCCTTAAGCTTTAACGATTCATTTAATGGTTTCACCAAAGCTCTAGCTATCTTCTAAACAAAGAAATTAAGCAAAAAGTCGATCTTTTATCGAATTTAAGTGTCTCCATAAGCATCATACGTTTTCTGCCTGCATATTGCTATCTCTCTCTGCATTTTCATACAAATTGTCAACAAATTGTCATTTACACTGACTTTAGTAAAGCATTTGACTCTGTAAATCACTTACTTCTTATTCATAAACTTGACCTTTTAGGTTTTCCAGTTGATCTGCTTAAATGGATTTCAAGTTATCTAAATGGCAGGTCACAAAGGGTCCTTTTTAAAAATTCAATTTCTGAAATTCTCCGTGTTACCTCCGGTGTCCCACAAGGGAGCCATCTGGGTCCGTTACTTTTTACATTATTTATTAACGATCTTCCCTCAATTATAAGTCATTCTCGCGTACTTATGTACGCAGATGATGTTAAGTTGTGCCTGCAGTATAAGGACATTTCCTGCCATTTAGACTTGCAATCCGATCTAGATAATTTTCAAAACTGGTGCCGAGATAATTTACTAAATTTAAACGGCTCCAAGTGCAAGCTGATGACTTTTTATCGGGCCAATCCGATATACGCGATTTACACGTTAAGTGGCAGCTCTTTGGATAGAATAACTCTTGTAAACGATCTTGGCGTTCTCTTGGACCCTAAACTAAAATTTTCTAATCACATTTCGTCCATGGTTAATAAAGCCAGAGGAGTGCTTGGATTTATTAAAAGGTGGTCAAAAGAATTCGATGATCCTTATTTGACTAAAACTTTATTTATTTCACTAGTCCGTCCGATTCTGGAGTATGGGTCTCCCGTCTGGAGTCCACAATACGGAATACATATTGGTCGTATTGAATCTGTACAAAAAAACTTCCTTCTTTTTGCTTTACGGCGCCTAAACTGGGATGCAAATCTTATCTTACCTTCTTATTCTAGTAGACTTCTTTTGATTAATTTACCATCCCTAGCCAACCGTAGAACGATGCTTGGTACTATCTTTATTTATAACCTTATACATGGTGATATTGACTGCCCCGCCTTGTTAAGTCGGCTAAACTTTTCTGTGCCAAGTAGATTAACTAGAAATTATATTCCCCTAATTTTAAATCATTGTAGATCTAACTATGCCTTGCATGAGCCTTTCAGAGTATTATGTTCTGACTATAATAGACTTTTTCCTGTAATATCAAATCTTGACTCTCTGCCGCTCCTAAAACGATTAATACTTGCTTCATTGGCACAAGATTGATCTAACTATTACTTTTTTTCCGGGACCTTTACCTTTATTTTCCTATCTCGCGTCTATCCTATCGCGAATCGTGCCGTACGATACACGGCTGCGCCCCTCGGTCGGTTGAGCGGGTAAGTGGGCCGTGGGACTCCGCGCGAAAAAAAAAAAAAAAAAAAAAAAATGATTCCATCTCCCTTCCTCTCTCTCTGCCTTGCATTTCCGTACGCTTCCTTAAAAATATAAAATGAGCTTTAATACGGTTTTAATATCTGTAGACATTAGTTTATAGTTATTGGTGACCCAAAAGATTGCAAAGACTTCAAAATGGTCATTAACGCTGATAAAAAGCCAGCAAATGCTCATAGAGGTCGTTATAATGCACCTCAAACAAATGAAGTGGGTTTGGTATTAGTGATCAACAATTTTCAAGTCGGGACATTGTTATTGAGAGTCATAATAGCAAAGTGAACTTTAAAGATCTTATGACTGTCTACAATATCCATTAATTTTTTGCCACGGATATGATGGATATTCCATAAATATTCCCCAACGGGATCCGTTAACAAAAATGATCTAAAGAAGACTGTATCTGCATTTAGCTTTTACAGTTATCGAATAATTCTAAGGGAGACTAAAGTCAATCACGTGCATTATTATTGAGCTCTGTTTAATCAATTTTTGGTTGATATGAGTGCAAAAATGGAAACCGAACGGCTTAATTATATTCGAGCAAATCAAAAAAAGTTGGGAGCAGAAAGTTACATATGTACATCTTCAAGACGCTATAGGTAGGGGAGATGCAGATATGACTCAACTTGGTCAGATGGTGATTTTACCTTCAACTTTTACAGGCTCTCCTCGATATATGCATGAAAAGACCCAGGATGCTATGACTTATGTCCGACATCATGGCCGACCTGATACTTTTATAACATTTACCTGTAACCCTAAATGGGAGGAAATAACGAATGAGTTGTTTCCAGGCCAAAATCCTCAGAATCGTCATGATCTGATATCTCGAGTCTTTCATTTAAAAGTTAAAACATTAATGGCGCTGTTGGTTAAAGGCCAATTGTTTGGTGAAGTACAGTGTTTTATGTATTCTATTGAATAGCAAAAACGTGGTCTGCCCCATGTTCACATACTTATTACATAAGAAAAGTAGGATATTGGGGTTATCCATCGCAAGCGAAGCTGCGGGCACCCTGCTAGTATTATATATTCTTGATCAGGATCAATAGGGGAGTCGATATAGTCATGTCCGTCTGTTTCAATACCGTTTGCGAGCTCAGTTTAAAAGCTAGCGATCTGAAGAGCAGTCGTCCTAAAACATGTGTACGCAAATCAAGTTTGAAAAGCGCCCCGATCGGACCTCTATATCCTATAGCTCCCATAGGAACAATCGGATATAACGTTATTAACACTAATCTCCAAAATCTAGCTATTGTAGTTTCCGAAATCATGACGTTCATACGGATCTCGATCTACTCGGCTATCGATCCTGATCAAGAATATATATATATTTTATGGGGTCGAAAAAATTAAGTAATTTTCAAGTTATGGAGTCTAACTACAGCGGAAAATCTAACTTTCATCTCTGGGGCAAATTGTCGATTTAATTGTAAACTAGTACAATAGACCTAAATAATTGTAATAATAATATTACAATATTTTAAATATTTAACAGTGCCATTCGTATGTGGATAATTCAGTAGTTTTTTGTAGAAGTGTGGCCTGCCACTCTTTTTTACGAATATGAACTTTACAATTTTTGTTTAAAAAGGAAATATTTCTGCAAAATCGAAAAGCAAGTCGAGTGAAAATTTGGTCAATAAATTTTTAAGCTGAGAAAACCGCGTTTTCCTGCTGTTATATCCCCGTTACCATCTGCATACACTTTCCTCAAGCCTTTAAATGCATATAAAATCGATTAACCTACGCAATGTTTTGACTTTGTTGAAGTACCATCTTCTAGGGTTTAAATCCGTGAGTATAATTAAATTGGAAAGTCTACAAGAAAAAAAGATTAAGAAATTGAATCTGTTGAGGTGCCTGTTGTTAGAGCAGAGTGTTTCTTAGGTCAAAAAAGAACGGAAAAACACAACAAAAACCCTGAGAAATTGCTTGCAAGAACTTAGGGCAGTTATGATCTCTTAATTACCAAATAATTATCAGTAATTACAAAAAAAAAACGAATATTAAGTTAAAATTATATTGTTTTCTAATTTCTTTGTATAGCAGCAGACATGTCTTGCCAAAGTAGTTAAGAATATCTTTTGAGCTGACGTTCGCCAGCTGTTTGCCTCTCGCTCTCTCTCATAGCTGACGAACAGATTTCGTCGATCTGAGT